ACGAGCCATTTCTTGCCGTGAGCCCAAAGCTTTGCAACCATCATTGATGATATCATTTTGAAAAAACGATAAGGAACAACTTCCAGGTTGTGTGGGAATGCCCAACATGGTTTGTTTCGCGTAGGAAACGTAGTACGTTTCCTACGCGAAAATGTACTGCATTTTCTGAGCACACATCTGGGGAAAATGATCCCATCTATGTACATGTTAGGCAAGCGAAGAAAAAATACTTCCCAGAATTGTGTCGAGCTATTACTGTTTATGAAATAAATAGAGATAGTTCTAAGAGCAAATACGCATTGATGACCGCGTGTTTGAACGAACAATTTCCACATTTCTGGTTTCTTCTGACCAGTTGCCAGAATTTTGGAAATCGAAGTACACTGTCGTGTCATATATTCTATATTTTTGCATCAGCTCTTTCATTGCATGCAATTCTGTACTGTGGTACATCTATTTCCAGGTTTATTCATCCATAATTTCTTCGCAGAAATGTTAACTTGCTGTGTGCGGCAAATGCCATCCCAATGGTCCCATGTCCGGAGTGTTTCCATTCTTCCAGGATGTGCTTCGTATCAAATGTGAGCATCCCGGGAAAGGGCAAGTACACGTCCGGGCAATCGGCAAACCATTGTGCTGCTGAGCACTGCCTGCCGCGGTGCATATCTGACAGAAATGGTGCAGTAATCTCTTCCGGAAGGTGAGAGGGAGCAACTAAAGCGCTGCAGGGAGCCAGGCTGGAATGAGGGCAGGGTCAAATGCAGTTCAGAGTCATGCGATGCATTTTTGGGTGCCGGAAACACGCTGGCACACAGCGAAATACAAAATCTTGTCCTGCACATGCGAAGGCCAGTGCAACAAGCCGCGGCGTACATGACATCCCGCCTGTCGCCCTCCCTCATCAACACCTTCCCCTCTTCTTCTCGATGGTACCCCAACCATCTGCATATGGTCTCCGCCAGGTCGAGACGAATTTGATACAGGAATCCCTGCGCAGCAGTATGAAACCACGGCGTGTTTTTATAATCAGCCATCAAATTTGACATTTGTCTTGGTTAACAAGTACACCTGGCTTCACGATTGCAAGGAGGGGTATAAAAAGTGATGCAAGCAATAATTTATGTACTGATGATTGCACCACATTTGTTGAAACAAGACTGTAAAGAAAGGCTGCATGTTCCCAGAGTGAGTCATTTCCAGATTTTGTATTGATAACGGAAAAGCAGATCGTATTTAGGTATTTACACCTTAAAATATTTTTTTAGTTTTTACACGGAAAACCAGGTAAAAATGCGTAATACAAAGTAAATGCATTTCCATGTACACAAGGACAGTACGAACAGACTTGGCGAGTCCGGGGATTGGCAGTCAGACGCCCTGGAATGGGTAGAAAACGGACTTTTGTTGCATGCCGTCGCTGCCCTCGCCGAGGGCGAGGTGGGCAGTTTGTTGCGGGTGCTAGATATGGCGAAGGACTGATCACAGTACGCGACTTTCATCGTGTAACCTGGGTGTCCCAGCGAGCGGCAAAAACGCAAAAATACCCTCTTCGCAAAGTTACATTTTACGCGTAAAACCTAAACGTTAAAACGAAAATGCGAACATAAAAGACAAGACTGGGCTATTTCGGCTATTTGGCTAGGAATCAGCGTGCCGTATTCGATTGGTGAGTAATTTCGCACGTCTACGTCTACGAAGAGTATGGGATGTCGTGTTTCATGTCGTCGAATAACACGTCCCAGCGACTAGCTCTCTACTTTACGCACTTGGGTGACTTGCCCTGAGAGAGGCGCTGCGCACTCTGGTCAGAGTCGATTTCCTCTTCAGAAGTTCTTGTCGGTCATAGGGCAAGCGTTTGCGCCGTTCGCCGGTCTCGTTCGAACTGACGAGCATTTTTAATCTGCGAATACGAAGGTTGGGAGCATTTTGCCAAATACAACAATGGACACGTAGGTCGCGGAGTTTCCGAGACAGTATCTGTCATACGATCTGGTAATTATATCCATGTTAGAATATATGATGGCGCGAGGCGCTAGAAGCTCAGCCAGCAACTTGGAGCCTGGGAATGCCTGATTGGACCAAGCTCAGACTTGGCGTCGAATATTGCATTCTCCTGTGTAAGCGCTTACTGGCTACTGTTCCGGAAGCTCATTATTGCTTTGGCTGCTCTGAGGGTAATTTAGATGCGTCGCAATTGTGCTAAGCGAAGCGCATGCACGATTTTCCCCTGCTGGAATTACCCGTTCCCAGTACTTGCAATGCATTTATCTCCGTTGAAACAGAGCCCTTATGAAACCCCTCCTTCAAGCTTCGGCATTCGATGCTCAGGTATGCAACCTGTCATACTGCTGCTCAAACACACTGGAATTCGTCGACCAAGACATGTGTAAATCTTGTCAGAAACATATGGCGGCCTGCCAACGTCGCCGCTTGTCATGCCATTGCATAAGTGGGCGAGCCATTCCCTGCGCCCCCAGCGGCAAAAGGCTGGCGCACCTTGCTGTCAGATGACAGAAACAGCGCCAGCTGTCGCAGCTCCTCCGGACCGCGCTGCAGGGGCCTGCTGGCGCGACGCACACACAACTTCACCAAAAATTTGAGCTGAAACTGTCATCAAATTGGCGAGAATCAGCAAAGCCCGGAAAGTACGGCGAAGACGGCAAACACACCGCAAGCAAAAATACCGCTTCTGCGGCATCAACTGCGATGCCATACTGACGCTAAATGCAGCCGCCTCAGCGGCAGCGATGGCTTAACAGTAGGTGAGATGGCACGAGTAAGTCTCAAATGGCACCGCAGCAGGTATCGCCAAAATAGCTTTTGTCACTGATGCACATACATAGCACGCCGACCGGTCAGACTGCGCCTCACAGCGCCGACACATCAACAACGGCTTGTCGCGCGGTACCTCTTTCTCAAAATCGCCCGCGCTTCTTGGGCGTCGATAGCGCAGATCTGATCCATCTGATCCATGGCGCAGTGCGGCAGCGCCCCAGGTGTGCCGCGGCCCGCGGGAGGTCAGTCAACGGCGTCAGGGGCCGGGGGCCATTTGAGCGGGGGCTCTGGAGGGGGGAGAGGGCCCGGCATGTGGCCCATGGGAGCGGGCGCGGGGGCAGGGGGTTTTGTTTCAGGGTTTGATGTATCATCCACGGTAGCTTCTCGGCATTAGTGCTTAATGTTTGTATGTTCACAGATTAGTAGATTCGTGGAACTTTTGTGTGTTAAGCATTAGATTTCAGTGAATTGATCATCGACACTGCTTTGCTGAGGAAAATAGGAAGCTGACGGTTACTTCCTTGCCTCGTTGTGCGAAAATGAGTGATGATGATGGTGACAACAACGGGGGAGTTCACGCGGGGGGCCCGACGGATCTAGATCAATCAACATGTCTGTTGTTTGAGGAATAGGGCTCGTTGGGGAGTGGGGGAGATTTTCGGGGTCTCGCCGTGACAGGATTTTTGGTAACACTTCGAGAGGTGGGTTGCCAGGCTAAGAGGGGCGAAATCTCAGACAGCATTGAGCGCTGGGGCTCTCCAAGAGAGAGGGACATTTTCGGTTGAATAAAGAGTCTTTGGTGGCAGAGATTTCCTGCTATTTTTCATATCTGTGCACAAGATTTGGCAAGAATTTTAGAAGGTAGTGGATAAAATTTGGATGACAGGCAAAGAAACAGATTTCTCCTGTGCAGCAGAAAAATGAAGATGCGTGCCTTGGCCGAACATCGGCGGGAGGCCTATGTACCAATATCTGTTGGAGGGCCGAATTCAAAAGGAAGAAAATGGCCAAATAGCGCGTATTCAAACGTGTACAAAGTTTACGGGTTTGTGTTATTTTCGTGCTTCTAGCGTGCAGAACACTGATGAAATGCATACAAATGTGCTCGCAGAACGTGTTATTTTGTTCTTTTTCTGCTAGTGATTCGGTCAGACATACGTGTGGTGGATGGTGGCATTTCATGGCACATCTGCAAAATTACATCCAGCGCATTGCGTCATTGTCAACTTCTAGCAATCTGTACGCCAGGTGTCGATGTTGGCATGAAGCATTTGCGAATGTCTGGGCGGATTTCTTCGTGAAAACAGGCATTGCACTGTCCTTCAAGTAGCAGTTGATGAATCATGCTTAAATGGGACAAGGTTGTTGTAGCCGTGATCAGCGCCGCTCTCCACCATTGAAATCCTCGTTGGAATATCCTTCGAACAAGATGAAGTGCTGAAACGAAACCATAGCGCTTCTGAAGTGTTATATATTGCTTCCACTGGGAGCAATATGGAATACGCAATTCGAGTAATTAACTTAGCAGATTTCTGTAAATATGCAGTTGCAATTTGTGCAACAGCCATGCGCGGAAATGAGAGAAACTTAATATCCTGAATGCGGTAATTGCCACTGAACGAGGAGAGTAGTGCTTCTCGAATATATCCACACTTCATTCAGGGTGTGAGAGTGCCAGTCAAACACACTCTTCTCGGTCCAATAGGCATTCAGAAATTTCGCATCGTAACCTCATTGTTCGTAAAATCATTGGTGACTATGTTTCAAAACAGACAACTTAGCGAGAATCCCTTCTACAACAGCCATCCAGGGCGGGATAGCGAGGCCTTCTGTCGGGCAAGTGATGCATTTCTGCTGTGAAGGAACTCCGATGCGCCAGGACGCGCACAGGCACGAAAGATATCGGAGGCGGGGAACCAATTGGAGCAAGCGCGGAAGGAGCACCCTGCCGTAGAAATGGCCTTCACTCACGAGGGACGAACGAAGTCGAAGTACAATCTCGCCCGGCATATCAACACGCAGACGGAGAACTGCCTTCAGAATCAACACAACGTTACAAAATGCAGCAGAACCGGCCGAGGACACGCTCGTCGTCGCCCACAACCGCTCTTTCCCCGTCAGCCCATCGTTTCAGACACTTGCGACCCAGGTCCGCCTTCGCCGAAGGAACGCGCTTTTGAGGAGGTGTCCGCGCAGATGCCCCCCAAATTCCCAGCTCCCGCGGCTCAGCCCTCCCTCCAGGCCTTCTCAAGGGCGTCCACGTACTTCTGCGTATCATGATCCTCCAGCTCGCCAATCAGCCCGAAGTCCTGGCCGTCCGCGCTGGGCCCGTCGTCGCTCTCGCCCACCACGCCGTCGCGAATGACCCAGCTGGTGCCCACGTGCGAGTACTCCGTCCTCGGAAGGTCCGTCACCCAATCTTCCCCGTTAACGAATCTGTGCGTCACCGACTTCAGGCCGCCGTCGTATTCCTGGGCGAAGGTGGCGTCCCCCACGCGAGGGCAGCCGTAAGTGTACACTCCCGCGACGTCCACCCCGCGCTGGTGGAGGTAGGCCGCGGCGAGCGTGGCGCAGGCACCGCCCAGGCTGTGACCCGTCACGTACACCGGCAGGCTGGACTCGCGCGCTGCGGGCGCCACGGTGGCCAGGATCCTGCCCAGCACGGTGCCGTCTCCGGAGGGCTCGTTCAGGGCGGCCAGGAAGCCGGAGTGGACCCTGCCGAAGGGGCCGTCCTCGCTCTGAGTGAACATGGAGTTCGTGAACCAGTCGCCGAGCATGTCCGAGCCGCGGAAGCACACCAGCCAGAAGCCGTCGCCCCTGGCCGTGAACGCCTGCGTGTTGGCGCTCCGCGTCTTCATGAAGCGCTGGCGACCTTCCTCCCAGCCGATGAAGTCCGCGTCCCGGAAGCCCCATTCGCCCAGCTGATCCCTCACTGGCTTCGCCAGGTCTTCTCCGCCCTCCGCCCTCCTGTACGAGAGCTGGGACGCCACGACCAGGGCGTACGCGTTGGCCAGCTGCTCCTTGCGGCTGGCGGGCCGCGCCGCGAAGGTCTCGAAGGGCCCTGGCACCATTCGTAGAAACCCCTGCCTTAGTTTCGAAACTAAGGCAACGCCGAATTCGGCCACGTGGAATCGCCTGGTGTGAGGGGAAGCGACCCGCTGCCGCTCGGGGCTGACGACCCATGAACGCCAGCGCCTCGCCAGCCGGACGCGCCTGCTGCGCCGCGGAGAGCAGGCAACCAGCCGCGGCCAACTGCGCCGATTGACCGCCGGCCTCTGCAAGGCCAGCGCCACCAAAAGCACACCGCTCCCAACCGCCTACACATCGGTCGACCCGTCCTGTTGCGCGAGATCCTAACGAGGCCGTCGGCCTTCGGCGAACCTGCCGCCCCCTCTCGACAACCGCAAGCGATGGCGCCTTTGACGTCGCCGTGGGGTTCGGATGTGTGACCCCCCAGACGCACCACGGCATGCCAAGTCGTAACACTGCACTTGGGGCCGCCCAGCTGGAAACCCGACCCACCTTGGGACATGTCGACTCGCGCGGGTGGGCGGGCTGGGGCCTTGGGTATTGGTGCGGCACGCAGCGGCGGTCGACGGAGACTCAGACCCAAGTTTGCGAGCCAGGCGCGGGAGTTAACGGCTTGCGGAGCGACGCCCTAATGGCAGCACGCTGGGGTTTTGTAGGCGCGAGAAGGCCCGCGGCCCGGCGCGTGTTCCGCCGTCCGGTGCCGGGCACGGTGTGCCGGGCGGAACATCCCCAATCGGCGCAGGCGGACAGTGTGGCCGGGGTGTCAGGGGTGTGGTGGTCGGCTGGGACGGGGAAGGAGGGCACAGTGGCGTCCGGCTGACGTGGACAAACAGTGCTGCGTCAGCGCTGTTGTGTGACGGCAGCTGAAGCGGCTGTCTAGCGAGCGCACTTTCGTGCGCATACGCTCTCATTCATGCGCGTGATTCAGTGACTCTGTCGTTATGGATCAGCATGTCACTGATCCGTGACTGTCCTGTGGGTCAAACAATCAAACAAGAATATACTCTTGGCCTATCGCAATTGTCCACCATCCACGGAAAAGGGGAGGATTTTATAACAGCGCAGCGATGCCGTCACTGTCAATCAATGGCAATATCTGCTGATGCAGCTGGTCGTGGCTGTGTCGATGCAATGGGTGATTACCAAGCCGTTTGGGTTACCTACTCTGGACCGCCAACACATTGCCCCCCCGTGCTGACAGGTGTTCCGCGGATAGTGCACGAAAAGGCATTGGTGGCATTACACGCATGAAGTGGTGCGCAGTCTCACACACCATTCCGACAAAGAAAATTCTGCGTGGCTGTTCAGGGCCATGGCAGCTGCCAATCGAAATGATTCTGCCGCATTTAATCATGGCATTGAATGCTTTTTTCACCTGAACAAAGCATTCCAGTTCCCATCCGGTCCAATTCGGCATTCAAACGAACGGCTATCGAGACGGGCCGCATTTCAAGGGCGTCGATGTGGATGCTTTGTTCAAGTTTGCGGAAAAGGAGTCTCTATAACTGGTTCATGAAATCAAGCTACCATCTTCTTTGTTCAGTGCAACAGCACAAATTATTCAATCAATAGAACCATGGTAAAGGTTTCTTCAAGAAAGAAACTGTCAAGTTGACATTTCCTGTGAACGTCTTGTTCAGAAGCAGCCATGGAACTCGCACCAGAACTAGCATGTGCGAAGTTTCTTCCCGTCTCGCGGCTTCATCTGAAACCCGCAGACCTGTAAGTTACAGGCTGTAACTGATTAGTTTGATGTTAACACATCCAAAATGCGGCGAAGAACGTTGGGAACAGCAGGTGCTCTTCAAACAGCTCATTCGAGACCCAAAGAACACAGGTCTGGTATAGCCAACGTTCTGTCATGTGACTTCGAACAAAAATTGATGCAACTTTGTTTTGCTGCTCGAGCACAGGGAGTCAAGACGACTGCGTACAACCCCTGCCATGACTGCTGGTTTTCTAGAAGGAGAAAACGCAAAACGACAAAATTTTTATGATAAAGTGACTGAATTTGGATTTGCGGCTATTCGCAGCCTGCGAAGACCCCCCCCGTACTAGACAAGAGACTGAGCGCTTTCCGTATGTATTGGTTGCTTGCATGGTCGGCATTCTGGCACTCAAAAGAGTGCCATTTTTGGTGGGATGGGAGGTGGGGTTGCTGGTGAAAGAGCTCTTATGATGACTGGTCAGCTGTCTTGAGAGGATGCCGTGGTTTGTCTTAATGCAGGCCGTCGTGTTGGTGTCGATCGATTGCAATGCATGGAAATCATCCTTGAAAAGAATAATTGATACCAATCAGGACGCTGTGGCCAGCGCATATTTAGTGCCAAACATTTGGTGCGTTGTGTTATTGCTCGGGCACATTCCTCACTTCCCTCCGGCACCCGAAAGCAACTTTTTGTGGAAATCTGATGTAGCTGGGGACTGCCTAGGAATAGGTTTTGCAGCTGTACAGCACGAGCAGAAAACGGACCAAATGACACTTTTTGCGAACACATATGTATGCATTTCATCAGTCTTATGCATGCTAAAAATAAGAACACAGCCCAAACCCGTAAACTTTGTACACCTTCATTTGGCCCTTTTTCCCTAGTGTAGAGCAACTGCACACCACGACTGTCGACACCACATGTGGTGTACACTAGTGGAAAATGGCCCCAAAGCACGCCAACGGTAACATGGCGTTCTCAGTCCCATGTTGGCACCATTAGAAATTGCGCGAAAGCATCAAATTTTGCCAGTTCCAGGCAGTGCCGAAGCTCGAAGCACCAACATTCACCCTCACTGTGGGATGATCAGACCGGTGTAATGAATTGAAGGTACCTTCAAAACTGGGAACAGCCTGATGCAGCGCATCCATTGCTACACTGCTCCTGATTGCGCTGGCCTTCTCCGCGTCTTCGCAGTCTCATTCACGCCTGAGCTTTGTCCGCAATTTGTCGGGCTGCCGAGATCAGCCGATGCCCCCCACATGGCTTGCACGCTGAATTGCAAAGTAGCCCTTCCGTTACGCCAGGAATCGGCACAGCCTCAGGAGCCAGTCGCATTCGGCTGCCCATGCTGGGCTCTCACACATGGGCACACCCTTGCGGTCTGGCCACTTGGGGGCAATACGCAGCCCCCACACAGTTACGCAGTTACACAGAATGACGTGCCAGCCAGTCATAAGAGGCACATTGATGACAGTTTGTTGTTTGCTGTCCGGCGTCTTGCATTGCTCCCATGTGACGGTCTTGTGCGTCCTTCAAACGTTGTCAAACTATCATTACTTGCGCATTATTCAAAACACCCATTTACTATGTTCGCGCTTACTCTATACCTTGGCGTCCCATTCCCCTGACTATAGTCAGTAAAGGAAGAAGTCGCGACTTCTTCTTTACAGTACTTAATCAGTTTACCCCTCTGCTAAAATTTATACCTTACATAAAGATGCAAGAAAACTGCTACCCTGTATTGGATACCCTATATACTGTATTGGCCCAACCCGTTCATCTCTGAGTATAGCGAGTTCGGATTCTGCATTACATGAAGTACGGAATAATTAAATTTATTGCTTTGGTTTGTATGAAAATGCTACTACTCTCACTTGGCCAACGTCTGTGTCGGGTGGAGAGAGAATCCAGTTAAGCAGAAACTGCTTGAAAGGGAACGCTTTGGAAACTCTCTTTGACACCGTGGCGAATACGGGGATTCAGTGGTTCCAGGCTGGACAGCCGCTTTGGAAATTTTGACAAGAGTGAGCCCTTCATGGTCTATCATTTGCCCTTCGGATCAGCCGCCATCCCCAAGCAGCCCTCTGTTGGAGCGGGCTCTCACAGAACGCAACTGGCGCCGCCTCTGCTTTCTGAGGCAACTCAGGAGCTCGGCGGGCGCCTCCTTGATGCGACTTGCAGCATGCCTTCATGGACTGTGGAGGCGCTGACACGTGCAGGCTTGCAGGCCTGGTAGGGGTTGGTGGGTGGGCGCCGTCGCACAGATGCCCGGCAACTTGTGACACTGAAACTAGTCCGGCGTTGTGCACAAACCATTATTACACACAGGGAGGGGGGATCACACAATGGACGGCAACTCCCCACCAAAATTCCCTTTTTGCCGAAGCCCGTGTTCAGAACAATGGCATAGAGGAAGCCGGCCCCCAACATCCGTGAATCTTGGACATTGGCCAATCGACCACGCAAAGTACAGGTCACCCGCGGGCTGTCCAAACTCCCACCACAACAACAGCGCAGCAGCCAATACCCTTCCGTACCAATCAACAGGAATACATAAGCTACAGCAATCCGCACATTCGCCGCGGAGCACGGCATGCAGCGAACACATGCATACAAACACGACTCCACCACTTCTGGGCTTGGAACTTGCACAGCGTCGCTGCCGAGCGCAGGGCACTCCACCAGCCACTCAACCGCCAATGTCCCAATAGTCATCCCTTCCACACACCGCGCTCCCCTGCCCCCAACGGCCGAACAGGCCAGCAGTATCTCCCCACTCCCTTTCCCCTTTCTCTTCAGGCCGGTCCAACAGGCGGCCCCCTCAGCTCTCCCACGCCGTGCCCCCTGGCGTACTGTCAGGGACGTCGTACCTACTGGCGATGTTCTTCCAAAGGCCCACAACGTACCCGTGCTTGATGCTGTGGTCGGCGATGCTGTCCGGGAAGTAGTCAAAGTCGATGCATATCCTGTCCTTCAGCAGCTGGCAGAAGCCCGGGTTCTTGGTCAGGGTCTGGTTCTTGCCGCTCATGTACCACCAATTGCCCACGTGGTGGTAGAGCACCTTGGGCACGCGCGCCACCAGGTCTTCCTTGTTCACAAACCGGTAGACCTTCCCCCCCGACTTCTTCATCACAACGTTAGCGAAGCGATGAGTGCCCACGCGCGGGGAGCCGTACGTGTAGAGGCCCTCCACCTTGATTTTCCCCGTGTCCAGGAGGAACGCGGTGCAGAGCGTGGCCAGGGCGGCGCCCAGGCTGTGGCCCGTAATGTACACCGCCCGGTCGCCAATGAGCTCGGACACCTCCTTCACCACCTCGTCGCGTATGCTCGTGCCGTCCACCCGCTTCAGCAGGCCGTTCAGGAAGCCCTGGTGCACGTAGGAGTTGAAGGGGCCCGACCTGGTCTTCAGCGCGTTCAGGTCGCTGACCCAGTCCCTCCATGACGTGGGCTCCGTACCGCGGAAGGCCACCACGACTATCTCCTCGTTCGCCGCCACATAGCACTCTGTGTCGAAGCCCAGTCTGCCCTCGTAGCCCAGAGTTCGCACGAACTTGAACCCCCACTCGCCGCACGTCCGCTTCACAGTGGCCTCGTCCCTGTAGGCCAGCATCGACGCGTGGGCCAGCGACCAGGCGTTGATCAGGTGGGGCCTGTCGGTCACCTTGCCTCCGGGCCGGGCCACGAATCCATCGAAGGGTTTGGTGGGCGCTGCGGGGAGGAGAGGCGATCCGATCAGCACGCCCGCGGGGGCCGCGCGGTCCGGATGTCGCGCGGGTTGACCCCATGAGCGCGGCATTTCAGCATTCATTCTCGGCGGTCGGCGTCCCGATCAGCGGGCAGCTAGGCGCGGGAAAGGGTGGGTTCAGAGGGCCAGGGGGGGAATTGGGGCCAAACGCCCCGTCGCTCGGACGGCGAGCTGCGAGGCAGGGTTTCGACTTCACCTTTGTCCGGGCCTTCGGTCAGCAAGGGCTCGGTCGCCATGGCGCTGCTCGGCGTCCGCGACGGGCGGGAGGCCGCGCTGGCGTTGGCTGGCCGGGGAAGGAAGGGGAGGTGCCGGACGGCGCGGGGCGTTCGTCGCTCGATCGGCGGATCGGTCCCTTGGCGCGCTGGTGCTGTTGGAGGATGATAATAAGATGGGACAGGGGTTGTGGCTGCTGGGGGGAAGGCCGGCGGAGGGGTGGGGGACACGGATGTGTTACGGATCCGTTCCTATTCACCAAGGGGGGTGACGGGGGCGCGGGAAAAGGCGCAAGCCTACCTGGAAATCGCGGTGTGTTCACCTGCGTTGGGAGGGGAAGTGTTGGCGGAGGATGCTGCGGCTGGCTTCTTGTTGCGTTGGAGAAAGAGTGAGACCGGTGCGTCGGTTGGTGCCGCCTGCAGCGAATCTGGGTGCGTGGCTCGGTTTGACGCGGCCTTCGATGGGGCTGGGGAGGCGCCCAATTAGTCGCTTTGGCTTTGCCGGGAAGATCCCTTCTTGTCTCGGACACCCCAAACCAAAAAAGCTTCCGACGCGCTGACCGGCGTTGGCCTTGTCAGCGGAAGAAGAAGGAACTTCACGGAAGAGACAGAGGGACTAATATGTTCTTGTGGGGGGGAACTCTGGATGGATTAACAAACAAACAGGTTCTCACTCACAGCGCACGGGTGACGAAGACCAAGGTAACGCACAAGACACAGACGTACAAGGCGCAGAAGACGGACTTGTGCAGTTGGAGTGAGAGCCGGAGTAGCCGTGGTGGAGGGCTTATAAGTGCGCCGCGGGTTGCCCAGTGGTCAGAGCATCGGCACCTGTCACACTTCGCAACGCAGGGCGGTTTCACTGCATTGAAGCCGTCGAGACCGTGACTCACAACCCGCTACGTCGAGGGCACGACCACACCACGGCCACACGCGCAATCGCATCCCACGCGAGGCCCACTTCAGAAAACCTGAACCTGCCCGGGCGTGCCAAGTGCAGGGTGCGGGCAAGAGTTCCTTGGGGCTCACGGTTCCAAAGCGCAGTGGGTCGTTCCCCGTTCTTTCTGGTTACAACGACACCCCCCGCAAGCCTGTCGTTACGCATTTTTTTGGCTGAAAAGATAACCCCTTGCAGCGTGACGTCACAAACGTGTTGTTGCGCTTTTTTTTCGTTACAATTGCAGCAAGCGTGACGTCACAAGCGCGTCACCAAACCGCCTCCTGACCCGTAGAAGCGCCCATTTGCCCCGCCAGCAAACGCGGTGCCAGGGGTAGCCGGGCGCATGGACCTCCCCCCTCCGCCCTCCTGGGCGCGGGCGCCCGCCGCCCCGCGGCGCCTGTTCCTGTTGGCGTCCGACGGCAACGGCGCCCAGAGGCGGGCGCCCATCGGCGAGCGGGCGGCCTACTTCGTGGGCAGGCACAGGGCGTGCGACATCGTCGTGGACCACGCGTCGGCCAGCCGCGTGCACGCGTGCCTTGCGCACGGGAAGGACGGCAAGCTATACATCGCGGACTGCGGCAGCGTGCACGGTAGGTCCGCGGGGGACGGCCATGCCGGGAATCGTCCGGGATCAGGGGCCCTGTGTTTTTGTCCGTGCGAGCGCGCGGCCAGTGAGCGCGGGCGCAGGGTTTTTCAGGGCGTCTGGGCGTGGATTTTGCCGTCTGGCGCGCTGCCGTGGGTTGCGTTGCGTCGATCGCTGAGGGGTGGGAAGGTGTGTGGGGGTGTCGTGCGGGTGGGACTGAAGCGAGGCGTCTGGACGGGAAACCTGTTCTGGGGGCATTGATGCGCGCTGGGCGAAGGAACGGGGCACACAGCGGCAACCCCACCACAGTCAAAGTACCTGAGGGAGTTTGCTGCCCAGAAACGGCGGCAGCTGACCCCCATAGTCCAAAAGAAAATCGTTGTGAGTTCCCCGTTGGGAATGTCATTCGTACCCAGAGGGGACGCCAATTGGTTGCTTCTGGGCCCTCTGCCAGCCTTCCCAATTCTGACTGCCTTTGTTCCCTGAGAAAGCGCTACAGCGAAGGGGCGGTGGTGGGGACGGAGGGACGCCGGAAGTTGGCTGCAGATGCTGCTTGTCTCTCGGGTGCAGGGACCTTTGTGGACGGGGTGCCCCTGGAGCGGGATGCCCCAATAGAGATCTCCGCAGGGTGCACATTCCACATCGGCGCCTGTCGTCAGTCGTTAAGGGTGGTCGACGCCGAAACAGGTGGGCCGCCATGAACATGGACGAATTGAATGGGCCCCCGTGTTGTCCTGTTGGCAATGCGGTAACTGTAGGCAGCCTTGTCTATCCGTGTGGATCAAGGGCAGAGTCATGATGAGGCTGGAGAACCGTACTTGGGCTAATGCTTGAGTGATTCGGAAATGCAAACTGTGGAAAGAGGGGCGATGCACGCAAATTTTGGACACGCAGACTCTGTGCTTTGGCAGATGTGCTGTTAAGGGCCACTCTTCCAATGGCTTTTTCTTGTGTAAGATAGTTCAATGACCATGTTTCTTGCCAGAAGGCTGTGACCAATCGGCTGCTTCCGCTATATCAAATTTACTGCAGTGGAGTGCATAATTTGTTCTCAAACTGTTTCAAGCGCAATAGAACATTCCTCTGCTGCACTGTATTGTGCAGGGCAACCGGAGGAGGGTGGTATGACAAGCCCGTCGTCAAGGTATGTCTCAGGTGGCCCGAAATGAAGGCAAACAGTATCACTAATGTTGCTGTGGCTTTTGTTCATAGTTGAAAACTGTAGGTGGGGCTCCGCGTTGCTTTTTCTGTTTCCCAAAGCATGCTTGTATTGTGAAGAGTCTCTGCAAAGCAAAAGGGACTGATAAGGCTCATGTTGCCCTACGGATGAGACAACAATGGATCCCATACACCCTAGTTGAGTTGACACAGTAGAGCCATTTAATGCAATAGAGAGCTTATGTGAAGTGTCAAGAAGTCAGGAGGTTGAGTAAAAATGATAGCAACACTGCAAAAAGGCTGCGGCATAGCCTGCATCCCTGGAACCAGGGAGTTGCTGCAACATGCTCCCCTCATCCCCCAACCCCATCCCCCCAACACTCCACCCCTCTTTCCCTGCAACTGGCCCTCCAGCGGGTCACATGTTTAGATCTTCGGGGCAAGAGTCTGAGGCCTCATTTTCACCCTTGCAAGCTTTTAGGTTGGGTGTTTCGCCCTGGAACTGTTGGTGCTAAAGAAAGACACACCCATCTGCACCTGAGGTGTCGAACTGCCTGGGGTGTGGAGGGCATGGGTGCCTCTTACGTCTGTGGAGGCTAGCACCCAGAGGTGAGGTGGGAGGTGCCTTGAATGGTGTTTGCAACTTGCCTCTCTGATTATGCCTATGAACAGTGGACAAATCTCAACAAGGCAACAAACAGGAGTGCTTGCTGGATTGTTTGTGGTACATCAGTGTGTGTCCCTGTGCCAGGACCTGCAAGGGTTGTGCAACCCATACGATTCAGACAGATGCATGATGTTGAAACTGAATGAATTTACCAAGCCAGTGGGAAACCACCAGAGGCTATCACATTACAGAATTCGTGGTTATATTGTCAGGGACTTGTTGTAGTTCTCTGGAATGGTAATTGATGCCATGGTTTTTGGCCTGCCAACCTTTCCAGCTTGCCAGCTTGGAATGTGGCTGTGCAGTGGAGTGCAGTATTATTCCTGGTTGCAAGCCTGAGCTTTTTGAACTTCTTGACCATATGTCAATCTTATGAGGAGCCCAAGCTAAGTGCAATCCACAGTACCTGGAAGTTTATGTAATATCATTGAGCATTGCTCAAACTGGCTGCAGCTTCCACACAGGAATTAGGTTCATTTAGTTGCCTTTGTCAAATGACCAGTACTGTTTTGGTTTGAGAGCATTTGTAAAACTGAAATCTGGAAGCCAGCTCAGCAACTAGACTTGACTAAATAGCCACAGCTGACAATGATGCTCAGCATAGCATAATCACCACATACACACAGCATCTGCCTTTGTGAGTATTGCAGCATCTTGCAGCATCAGTGGTTGTCGGATTCATTCTTGATTCAATTTATGTCTAGGCTTGGTCAGTTGGTTTGTGAGCAGAATGAACACAATGGGATAAAGAGTTGTCGTGCTGAGTCAGCAACAACTTGCATTTCCTGTGGTTTGATGGACTGAGCAGCATGTTCTCAAAGTGTGGTCAGACCTGTATTCAGCTTTTGGTTGTGCTGGGATGTTTCCAGTGTTGCTGGCGTCAAAATCAATTCTTGCATGAAGTTGGATTCAGCCCACTATTGCAATACCATGAGCCAGACGATCTGCATTTTGCCACAGTACATGTGCCACCAGATACAATAGCCAGTTGCTTTGCCGTTTTCCTCATATTTTTCTGTGCTAAGGAACATTGCATGGCTTGGAGACTCCAGGTTATCCTCACTGACACACTCCACAGAACTATGACGTAACCGAAGAGATTTGGGACTTGTGCCACCTGACATGAAAGTGTGTGGCGATGCAAAGCCCCAAGAGTTGTTTGCTTGTGAGTGAATGGTCAGTCTCAAAGAAGAGCAGTATTGCACTGAAGGGGGAGGGCCTGGCTGATAAGGAAATGTGGCAAACTGCTATTGCTAGTTTTCACTGAGCCAAACCGAGATTTTGGCATAGTGCTGATGGGCAGCGTAATCCATGTTGACTGCCTTCTCAAATTTTGTCAAGTGATTGCCCAGCATCTATTGGGGCGATGTTCAGTGATGCATATAGTAGTGACAGTGGAGTCTGCCATGAATGTGCATTTTGTGTTGTCTTGAACGGATCTGTTACACTTGTGCAAATGCCTGCAGGCGTGATGTGAAAGGTGGAGACGCCAAGGGTGGCAAAGATGGCCGGCTCAGTGAGCAACTGGAGGAGTATGACCCATGTTCCCCATGTGTTGACGAACCCAGCTCGGGACTTGACAAACCTGCGATGCCTGTCCCTAATGGATTGATTGGATCGAGACCTGAAGTTGACAACCATGAGAATGGCGCTCAACAACAGATGGATCCTATGTTGCGGACAGCAATTGACAGCCAGGATAGGGCTCAGGCATCTGGCGCGAGCTGTGGCCAGAAGCGTGATACACAAGGTGGGAGGGAAGCCCACTCTCACAGGAAGCGGCGTACAAGTAGTGAGCAGGAGGTGCGCCTGAGCCACGATGATCGGAGGGAAGAGAGGCATCGTGGCAATGGACACAGGGAACGGCACAGAAGGGAGGGGGATGGCAGGCATCGAGGCGACCGAGATGATCGTCGAGGGGCGAGGCATGAGTCGTATTCCAGAAGGGGCAGCGAATGGGACAGGAAGGAGGACTCTCGCTATTGTAGGAGCGTACGGGACAGGAGGGAAGACTCCCGCCCTGGTAGGAGACACCACAGGAGCAGGTGCGATTGCTGTGAATGATTGTGAAGGAGTGGATCACACAAGCATTTTCAGGTTGACGGGCTTGCCACTGCATTGCCAGGTGTAAGGACACCTTCCTGCACTGCAACAGCATATTTGCTCCGACGGAAGTTGACAGTCCACAAAGAAGGGTGTGCTGTTGCTGTTTGCACTAGTGTTGGTACCCAGCTTGGTGAGCCTGTCTATTCCTGGGTATCATGATTTTTCAGACAGGGTGCCCTGGTCAGCTGGGTATTCCTGGGTGCCCAGGGAATGGGTGGTACCTGGGTGTTGCCAGTAACCGATCAACATACATTCCAGTTATTGAACGGATTTTATGTCCATCACTGAGAAATGTCGTGTTCAAATATTGTATAAGGTTGCAGTTCAACGATTCCCCTGACTGACAGCGGCCCATGTGTGCTGGTATTGCGCCATTTTCTGGGAACCAAAGGCAAATGAAGCAGATTTTCAATGAATTCAGTTGCATAGCCAACACTGGTGGAGGCGATTGTTGCACTATGATCAGGAGTATCGGCAGGTTCTCATTGATGGCATCGAGTTCACAGTGCCACGTGCTGTTGGTGGCAATGCTTCCACAAGAGCACGTGCATTAACCACTGATGGCGATTCGTGGATGTGCATGAGTGTCAGCCACTGTCACACTGCTGTGCTTGTCATTTTTGCAAAGCAAACTTCCCATTGACACTGCTCATCGTGTCCATGCTGCAGGGAGAGGGACAGACGCAGTCCAGACTGCAGAGACGACAGGCACAAATCGAGGTGGGAGACGTGAACTGCAGACCTGTTGTTATGTTCGAGCAATAAGTGACTAGCAGAGCAACAGTGAGTGGTTGCTGTGTCAGTGTTTGGTTGAGCCCTGAGAGACCATGAGCAGTCACAGATGATATCAGGTACATTAGCAAGTTGGACAAAACAGGGCACTTGTTTTGTTGGTTCATCGTCTGATGAGGATAACAACAACGAGAATGGAGAGGCCTTGATGGATTCACAGCCAGTGTGCATCTCGATAACATATCCACCAGGGGGGCAGAGCTCTATCGCTTGGCAATCCACAGCTCACCTCCCGAAACTGCATGGCTGAGAATTTCCAGATTTCTTGATGATGGCTTTGAGCCTTTTTGAGCAGCAAGGCTGTTTCAGAAAACTCCATGGTGTTGTGCCTTGCTGCTGTGCCTGCAGATCTCATGGACACAGAGATCAGGATCGAGACAGTGACCCTCCCCTAGAGACTGACAGGAAGCGAAGGCGGTCGGCATTCTCTAATGCACCAGACACTGCAGTGCAGAAGACAGAGACAAGCCTTGACATCGGTGAGTGTGGTGGAGAATGCTGGTGGTGGCTTTGCAACAGACTGTGTTGCTGCAAGGCCGCTGCAGAGGGGCTTTCAATGGCTTCTGCACTGCAGCACATGAATAATGCAGACTGGCCACTGCAGTGGGGACCCTCTCCTGTTTAAAGTGTTGAGACTCTGCTTCATGCTGTGAGAAATGCTGGGAAGGGCCCTGGCTGCCTCAGAGATGAGATTGTGCAGAAATCCCCCCAAGTTGCGGGGTGGTGAAAATTCCTATGGCATCGTGCAAGACTGCTTGATACTACCTAAGCATGTGCAGAGATTGTGATTTGTCGTACTTTGGTTAAGCACTGCCAGGTTGCCTGTCAAGAATGACTTTGCTACCTGGGTGCAAAGAATGACTTTCGCTTTCTAGTGCGTCAATGTGTCCCTGACATGGCAGGTGCCTGTGGCTGATGCAAGTGTTGTGCATCTGCCGCTGGTGGGCAAGGGAGCAATGCCCAACAAATTCGCTTAGATCACTGTTTCCACGACCTGGGGTCGTGTCTCGCTTGTTCTCGTTGTCTTTGGACTATGGTGAGCCTTTCTGCCGATGAAAGTGTGTGCGCGTGTGCTACAAGCCTTGTGGTTTGTCCATTCAAGCTTTTGTGAGCGACAAGGCCATATTGGCCAGAGTGACAGGTATCAAGGCAGCCAGAGCAACGTTTGTCAGTGATCCCAGCCTGGCACCTCCACTGAAAGGGAGGGCAGATGTCTGGTCGTATGTCTGCTTGTGTTGTTTTGTGCATTCGCAGAATTAAGTGTGCCTGTGCATGTGTGTTGTGTTCATTCAGTCAAGTCGATGATGCAAGCACCAGGTCAGATGGGGGGCAGCCTACCGCAGCCTGGGTTGACGACTGGATTGACGGTTGAGCAGAAGAGGCACCTTCTGTGGGGCAAGAAGAAACAGGAGCCTGTGAAGGAGGCACCTGCCCAGCCTGTGACTGCATTTGGTGCCAACAGATGGGACGTGGCTGAATTTTCAAGCGGACAGGAGAAGGAGAAGTTTCAGCGGCTGATGGTGAGTGCAGGGTGGGCGATGATGGCCAGGTGGAACCATGCTGTCTGCCTTTCTGACGTAATGTGATTGTAGACTTTATCTGAAATGGGATCGAATAGCAATGTTGTGGTGAAGTCTAAGGGGTTCAGTGAAGTGGCCAGATTGGTAGCTGTCACTGATCATGCGATGCAAATCCACCATGGGGCACTGACCTACAACTTCAAGGCTGCAGTGTGTGAAGTTCGGCAGTTAGTGTTGTGCTGTAGTGTTCACAGTGCTACAGTGCTACAGTGCTGCAGTGCAGTCAGTGCAGCGATTGCTGCAAGCAATGTGGAGAACGCTGCAGTCAGTATCCTGGATTCAGCAGTTTTGCATTAAGCTAGAGTCCCTGTTCTACCACAATTGCGTGCTTTGGAGTCCAGGATATGGGCTATTTGCTGTTGCCCTTCAGTGGACCACTGTCAGCATTGAGTGTATGTGGTGGTGGACAGGGTGTGAAAAGCACGGCTCCCCCAGAGACGGCCCCAGAAACTGCTGATGATGACAGCCCAGTGGAGCGGAAGGCATTGGGCAGTAAGTGTTGCTTTAATGGCTCAGACCTGTTGCACTTGATGCTGCTATGCTCTCATGTTAAGTGAAGGCACTGTCGATTTTGGTACGCATAGCATCAATTTGACGGGGGGAGGGGGGTTCTTGACCTGTGATGCTAAGAGAGTATGGAATGGCCAAAAAACCACCGCACGGTGGAAAGATGCTCCAATGTGCCGCTGATCAGCAGCAAACAACTCGTGGCTGTTTCTAAACCTCTGTGAAGCGTCCAATCTTTAAGTAGAAGCCTTAGATTGTATCTGTTGACAGCCATCGAGGCTGGCTGCCTCATCTATCATAGCTTTTAAAGACCCACTTTTCAAACCACTAAAGTCAGTACAACTGTTCGTTCTTTACTCGAGTTCTATACCACTGTTAGGTAATTTTGCTGACTCATCCTGGCGTCGATATAAGGGCTGAGTTAGGGGGGGGGGGGTTTGGGAGGGGAATGATGTCATTGCAGAGTGGCGAGGTGGAACCCCTCCTTTTCCACCAGTAGTTTAGGCACAATTTTTGGTCTCGGGACGGGTATGGGCGTCCACTGCATTTCCCCAAAACACAAACCTACCCCCTCAGGATGGGTGATATCGCACACGCGGCGCCCTGCACCCCCTCATACTGGTACGCTATATGAGGGATCCCCAAGACGACAATGGCTGCTGTGAGGTTCGGCAGTGCGAAGAGCAGAGCGTTCCCAGTGAAACGGTTTGTGTCCTAACACTAAACCCACTCCCAGAGAAGACTGGGAAAGGATAGTTCCTTGTACACACTCACACCAATAGGGCGGCAGGCGGGCGGGGTGGGGTTTGAGCTTAACGTCCAAATAACGCTAAGCATACCAAAATCGACACAGTGCCTCCCCTTACCTGGCACTCAAAGGAGGTCATGTTTCCAATCCAGCAATGCAGCTGTTAGCAGAACATCCTAAACCTAGAATTGACACCATTTCCACAGTATTGATTCCTAATCCCACTTGGAGAGCGCCCTGTTGGATGATTGGATATGGGAATGCTTGCAGCTTCACTAGCAAGGTAGTTTATGTGCAGTGATTTATGCCCAAGACACGTGGACATCAGAGGGCCAATCGATAAGGCTGAGACTTGCAGATTTGCTCTTGCAACGTTTTGGTCTGTGCTTGTCTGTATCGCACAAGGTGTTCCATTAACACCACATCATCTCGTTCTTGGCGGACATCATCACTTGCTATGTTGATGCACGCACCGAATGCTGCGCGCAGAATGGGTTGGATTCGCCTGGTCGTACAATGGCTTCAAGGCCTCGACTAATCGTTGCTCATGGGTTTCTCGTTGTTGAATGCGACCTGTTATCTTGTCTGTCCCAGGAGAGCAGCAGGAAGAGGTGCTGCGGTCTGTTGAGCAGCATTTTGTGGCTGGACTGCGAAGGGCGGATGGGCGCACTGTGGGGTTAGGGTTGTAGGCCTGGCGCCCAGCAGGGGTCTGGCTACCATGTGCGTCAGCGTTGATTTGTAATATATTGGAATGCTGCCAGCCATGCAAGAGCCAGCCCATAGCCAGGAGAGATATCGCTTTTGCCAGGTTGCACAAAAGCTGTGTTTCCGTTCCGTTTCCTCACCAGCACAAGCCTGCAACATGATCCATTGTTTCTTACTGCCTCATTGCACTTTTCCTTACCCACAAACTCCTTTCCATTGCACACAGTTGTTGTCCACGAGCATGTTGCTAGGCATTTTGAGGCCGCTAAAGGCCGCTGAGAGCCAGACTGTCTGTCCACCTGCTGAGTGTGGCCATGCGACTTGACACGCTTTCGCGTTGGTTTTGTGGATACATTCATTCTGTCCAGCCCCAAACTGTATTGAGTTGCTTGCAGTCGTGTGCCAACAGTGAGTTGATTGGAACGGGAACTGATCATTCCATCTTCCCAATGGGCTATTATTGTGCCGCGCAGTACACGGCAGGTGCGCCACTTTGGAAGCTACTGCAGTCACTGGCGTAGTGGGCCTTGTGGCATGAAACTGTTATCTTTACATGCATCTTGTATCCAAAACAAAACCCCCTGGCACCAATCTGGCAATGGCTGGAGCATGATATCGCCACGTTTCTTCTTTCCTGCCAGCCAGCGTGTCCATAGCTCATGTGATGCTGTCCCTTGCAATGGGGTGCCGCACGGGGTTGTGATCGCTCGATGCAGTTGTCGACTCCTTACTTGATAGCGGTCATTAGAATGTTGCAGACTGGCTCTATTCCCCAATGATTGCGTTGCTGAAGGCGTTGGCGCAGCGTTTTCTATCTTCTCGAATCCGCTTGGGTGCAGAGTTCAAAACCTATCCAAATGGAGAGAACACGTTGTCACATTGTGGATGTTCACAATCCAGGACTCCAATTGGACTCCATTTTCTAGAAGCCAACATAGTGACGGTAAGTAACCTGCAGCAAAACTCAACAAACTTTGAAGTGGACCCAGGCCATCATCCACTGGGGTTAGGGCATCCCTCAATTTGGACCAATCTTAATTTCCATGAGGTCTGGACTAGGGTTGTTTTCGATTTCCAGAACGTCAGGCTGTTGCTCCTTGTTCGCTTCGATTATATTGTCCTCACAGGAAAAGGCACTTTCCCTGTCCATCAGGTGGTGATAGCACAACTTCCATCCGTAAATAGTGGCTGCCACAGTGTTTTTATCACCACTGAACACCAGCACCTGCTGGATGTCTTGCATATACGCATCATCGATGTTTGCCACAAAATGTCAAATGTTGGCCTCAGCACCTTAAAGGCAAGGCCGACATGTGTCCTCATGGACCTACGCATGCTTCGACGGCGTGTCTTGGGCGCGACTTCCATGGAACACATCCCGACGTCATGATCAAAACTTGCATCCATTTCAAACTGCTGATTTCATTTCCAACTCGTATGATGAATGGGGTTGTCACGTCTGCGGAGCGGAATACTTGATGTTGTACCGAGTCAGCTGTTCAGCAACAGGCCACATGCATCCATGCTGGCAGCAATTTGCTGGAGATAGCGGAAGCTTGCCATCAGCACAGTGCACCGCCATCCTCAACCCCACGTCGGATTGCCTGTTGCCACATTTCACAGGGACGCGGCACACTTGGCATGCAGGTGAAGTCGCCACCCTGGGCGCTCAAGGTTTCGCCACTCACCTCCGTCATCAGTGCTGTCACCCTTTCCGCTCTTCCTGCACGCATTCCTCACCCCACATTCCCTACCGCCAGCATTGCATCCCATCATCTGGGCACTGACGCACGGGTGCGTTCTATGGAAAAGATCGCTTACAATCACAATCTCACCAAAGACATGCTTGTCGCTGCAGCATGCAGCGACACTCACGTCATCCAGACAACGCCGGTGAGAGAGTCGACGTTGCCAGGGGCGTGGGTCCGGATAGGACATCACCTGTGTTGGTAGACACCCGCAACCCACACAAGGGTCCAATGAGGAATTTCAAGTGATTCGAAAGCGGACTGCGCTTGACTTCAGTTGATTCAAATCAAATCAAGTCAAAATCAAGTCATGCAGACGTTGATATGGCAGTCAAGATGTTACAACCATGCGCTGAGTACATTCTGGCCCGGGTGCAACGAGGCTATTTCGGGTTGATGTGGCAGTGACTGGTCCATCATTGACGGATGGATGTACGACCAAGGGGCCATGCCTGTCTGCGATCTCTCTGTAACTCTGTTCCCTCAGTCGTTTCTCCAAGCGCGTGGCCGTGCCTGCCTCCCACACAGTCCCACCCCGAACCTAGCTCATCAACATCATGTGCATTATCACCGACAACGCCTCCATCTATGCATCCAAGCGCTCGACGGCACTTCCGCACGGCATCCCGCAGGATGCCCACAAAATCCCACGCACCCACCCACCCCTGCCACACTCCTTTCCCCGCCGCCCCGCCGACGTGGCGCTCGGCGGCACACTTTTCGCGCCCACGGACGGCTGGGCCAGCCGGCACTCAACTCCCCCCAACGCTTGGCCCACGCATACCCGTCTACCTCCGCCTCCCCCCCCCTCCACCCCTTCCCTCCCTCCTCCCCGACGGCGATGAGCGCGCGGGCGCTGCTCTCCGCGCCCTGCGCGCCATCCTGCCGGCCGGACAGCGGCGCAAATGTCATCGCGGCGCATCCCGGGCTCTCCACCCCGCCGCGCTCCAGGTGCGCGGCGCAATTTCCGCTCGGCCGCGGGAGCTTTGGCGGCGGGGCGGCTGCGGCGTGGGCCGACGATGCGCTGAGCTGATGAGGGTTCGCGTTGGCCTGCAGCCGGCATTGCAGGGGGCCGCTGAGGGCCCAGGGCGGGCGAGTGCAGGTGGGAGGAAGTGTGTTGGCGGCAGGGGGGGGGGAGGGGAGCGGGCTCGCTTGATTAGCGGCGCGTCTGGTTTGTTCGTATCGGTGGGTGTTGGTCCCTGATAGAGGTCGGATCGACTGCACAGGGTGAGGCGCAGAGGCCGGTCACACGTCTGTGCGCGGCGCAGGCAGAGGCCAAGGCCGCCTCCGGCCAAGTTAAAGAAGAGTATATAGAGGTGGGGCAAGATAGCGGTTGTTACCACGTGTGTATTGCAAAGCGAAATTTGCAGCGAACGCACTGATCTGCAGCCCAAATTGGGTGGCTTTAACCGTGTTGGGATGCGGCATTTGCTGGTCGTGGGCAGCCATTGCTTTTCAGCGCAACGTTAAAACCAGCTGGCAACAGCTGGAGAGGTGTTTAAAGATGTGGATCCCAGGATCCATGCCGCACAAGGGGATCGGTACGACGTTTTCAGTGAGGACATGCAACGGCTGACGCACGAGCTGATAGTGCTGCAGGACAGGCGAACCAGAATGTGTGGCAGTGCAGTTCAGAAAACCCGTTTTGCAGAGGAATGATTGAGGTGGCCATTCACCTGGTCGAAACAGCTATTGGTTGTGTGGATCCTTGATTACATCTGTTGAAGAGTGACAAAAGACAGCCCTTGCATCTATTAGGCGATGTCTGGCATATGGCTACAAACAGAATGCCCAGCAATCCCAGACCAGGTTGCGACGTCCACAATCGCCAAAGTCATGCACTGCCATGTTGCATATGTGCAGGTGGTGCTGAACAAGCCCCTTGGGCTGCGCTTCACACGAGGTGCCGATGGAGGTGTCTACGTCACTGTCAGTGATCCGAAATTGGGCGAGACTGATGAACGGATCGAGGTACAGTGGCAGATTTGTCAATAGCCCTGACCCCATGTGTGAAATGATGGCTGGTTGCCTTGTTGCCATCGATATGCCCAGGATATGGGCGCTATGCCACCCTGCAATTGCTGTTGAAATAGATTCCTGGGCTTTAATGAATAAAGCGCTGTAAACAGGCTTTTGGCAACAGAACATAAACGTTTTACTGACAGAACACTTGTGAACAAGCTCTGTGGTGTGATGCTTGCCATCCCCCTGAGGGGAGCAATTGCAGTGCATTGCTATTTCCTGGAAAGATGTACTGGAATGAATAGTCTGAAGCCAACAGAAAGAGTATGCTGATTGTGAATTGTGGAGCCTCAGAGTATCCTGATCTGCATCTGGACTGTGCGTTTCTTGCACATGAGCGCATCCCCTGTCTCTATCCCTGTGCATCTAGCATACTGGGACGCGAACTGTTCTAGCATTCAGAAGTGGCTCAAGATTTTTTCCTACTATGCTCCAATTCTGGGTGTCCAGTTTTTGCTTGTACAGCCAGTAGTCAAGTTTTGAGCTGCTCCATGGCAAGAGGGAATTCTGAACAGCATGAGAAGCAGGATTTGTGGCTGTGAACGGCAATTGTTACAGTCTTGTTGGTGCAAGGACACTGTTTTTTTCTTTTTTTCTTTTTTTCTTTTTTTTTTTTTTGGTGTCAGTCACTGCAAACAGGGGCCTGTGAAGAAGAGCACCCAGATTCTTGTTGGGTGGGAGGCCAATTATCTGATGTTCAGTCCGTTTTGAGGACTATTCGTGTGGACAGGTTGGGGACAAGGTCATGCAGGTCAGCGCTTCATTTGGCGATGATGTCTGGGATGCCAAGAACTTTGGACAGGTCATGTTTGCCATCAGGACCCGCAATGGTGGTGTGTTCATCAAGGTCAAGAGGATGTTTGGAGATGTCTCCCAGATCGAGGTGAGGTGTGACAACATTTTGTGACAGTCCTGGCGAAGTTTTCATTGGTGCAGATGATGATTCTGATTGGAAAGGCTGGGGCGTCAAGATCGAGTTCATGAAAATTGTTGTCATGTTGTGGAGCTGAAGGGTTTCTGGTAAATACGTATTTGCATCTTGGGTTTGTTGTTGAGAAAGCACTCCCGTTTCAGCAATAGATGTACAGTACTTGCTACACGCCAAAGGTAACAGTGCTTGTAGTACTGCCAAGCGGATCAACATCACTGCTTTACAAAGCAGTGTACATCACTAGATGCAGACAATCCAATTGAGTGCATTGCCACTGTATGGCATTGCACTGCCCCTGAACCTGCTCAAAGGTCTTGGCCATAATCAGCAGCTTCATTGTTCAAGAGCACTTGTTCAATTTTCCAAGCACTGCTTTCAAGATAGACACCCAAAATTAAATAAATCCCAGTGCTTGGAGAAAACTCATCTCTCAAAACAGATTAGACAGTGTTCACCTTGTACCATCCAGCAGACAGGAAACAGAAGGGACCACATGTGAGGCAACAAGAAGTACTTTGCACCTGCTGATGCTGAACAGAGGATGTGCCATTGAACTTGATCTATCATTCATACTGGAGGAAGCCTTCTTTAAATGAGACATCAGTGGGCCAAACCCTTGGCGTATGCCTCTAAACTTGCATTACTCCACATGTAATGCGAGGAGCATCAACTCAAATCCGTGCAAGCAACCAACAAAAAGGAGCATGCCCTCCAATACAGCCAGGGCAGTTTTGAATGCCTCTGCATTTGTGTGGACAGAACATCCCCGCAGACAACGGTTGGAAGCGGGAGAGGAACGCCGGCAATGTGGGCAGTGCTGTGCGTGAACAGCAGCGTAAAAACTACGCGGCGAAGCAGGAGTTGGGCCAGGAGCGCCTGGCACTCTTCAACACCGCACTGGGCAAATTCGGGAAGAATGACATGGAGGGCGCCCTGATCGACTTTGAGAACGTGGTGGCGATGGAGCCCAGGAAATACATCGGGGACAACTTTGCTCGCTACACAGACATCTATCCAGTCGCGCAATACAATGTTGCCTGCTGCTACTCGGCGCTGAACCAGATGGAGGCAGGGCTGGAGGCCTTGGAATCGGCTCTCAGCTCAGGGTTCGACGACTTTGATAAAGTGAGGTCTGACAGCAACTTGGCAGCGCTTAGGAAAGATGAGGGCTTTACCCTACTCGTCAACAAGGTGTGTAATAATCAATTTTGTTGCATGTGAAAACATGTGGCAACTGCCAAGCTTGAACCTGCAAGGAGATGATTGGCACCATTGCATTTTGCAGAATTTGTTTGGGAATGTTTGCTTGGTTTTCCCCTTTCACTGTAGACGCCAGGTTTTGAAGCAGCTTCATCCAAGCTTTGTTGTTGGAGCTGAAATTCAGATTGTTTTCTTTCTGTTTGTTCAAAGCCTACTGGGTTGTTAATTGCTGAACATGCCTTAAGGGACGATGGTATGATCACTGCACACCATGTCACAAAGGTGACCCACACAAGGAGCCTTTTGCATATTCTCCAAGGCTTTGAAAGAGCAAGGCCAGGTCTGAGACTTTCCTTGTCTCAGAATCTGCAAGCTGGTTTTGTGCCTTGATCTTGTTCAGGTTGGTGCGTGGCACTAGCGTCTTTAAACAACCTTAACCAGTGCTTTCCTCAAGTGAGCCTAGTGTGGGAACTACGACATCTCAACAATGCAACGTGTGCGCCGCAATACTAGTGTTTTTGTTCAATCTTCTGGACAACACAGCTCAAAAGACACTGTGATTGCATGTGGAAAACGTGACAAAAGTTGCACTTGCATCTACCAAAACGTTAAGGTAAATCGTTTACAGCCACAATAGTTTGTTGCTGCTGCTGCTGCTGTTGGTTGTTTTCACATCCTGTCCAGCAACCCTGAGTATGTCTGCTGTCGGCAGAGTGGTTGGAAAAGGAGCTTACAATTTTAAAAGAAGAAACGAGTGTGAATGGCATTGCCTTCATGCATCAGTTGTTTGTGGCAACAGGGGATGGGCGTTTAATGCACTGCGTTGTGAAATTGTTGTGAGCACGCTTTCAGGGCTAGTAGAATTGGTTGTGTCCTAACTTCCGAATGTCCATGTTGACTGTTTTCAGCGTGCTTGATTCTTATTGCTGTGATTGTTTTCTGATATCTGTACTACACTCCGCTGCAGTATGATGAACCCATCATCAACGAGAATGCGGTCAGGTGGGCCATTGTTTTGCCTTTGATCCCTAAATGTTGCATCACATCTAAGAGTCCAGACGTAGCCACGATCTCAACAGATCGTTGGGCCTTGCGCCACCTTGCATGAATGTTGCAGTGCAGCATTGCACCAATCGATCGATTTAGGGTTTGTTTTGGTGGTACCTGCACATAACTTGAAGTGTTTGTCATTTACGACCAGGCACTGTCCGTTCCGAAAAGAAGCATCTCTACACAGATGAGTTCTCTGCAGCCATATACAGCAACATAGGCTCCAAAGTTGGTGATTGCACTGCCTGTGCTGACCAATCATCTCTCTCCCTGCAAGGATGTCACGTGTTGCTGAGGATTCAACCTTGTCCGCAATGCAGGGTCTTGAAGAACCTCTTCTCATTTGGAGGTGCCAAAGACGAGGATTGAGTTGTGTGGAGCGCGGGGCACGCCAAGGTCGTGTGCCCATCTCTACAAATTGAATTCCATTTATTCTTTGTGATGGGACATCTCCTCTCTCAACCGCAGGGCCAAACTCTCTTGAGATAGGATTCACCGTCACAGTGTGTTCCACCCTAGGAGTGGGCCGAAGTGGTCATGGCTAGCATTATGGCGCTTTCACGCTTTGTGGGATTCTTTTCGGTTGCCGGGCACAATGGGTTCGTCTGCTGTGGCGTGTGCTTATCTTATTGTCAAAAGGACAACCTGGAATGAATGATTGCATTGGCAGATGGCGCCATCTTACATGCTTCCCATGAGTGGGGATACAGATGCGTCAGGTGTCCGTGCTCTTCCATCAGCAGCACCCTTTCGGGGCCAATTTTCTGTTGCCGCTGCCAAAGCAGACAGCAATGTGCGCCACTTCCTGTGTGTGGGAGGGCTGCAGTGTGTCCCGAAGTGCGTTGTCCAATCCTTGAAACGCCACCAGCCCGCAGCCAAGGCGACGCTGGGTGCGCAATTGGCATCCGGCTTTTTTTTTTTTTGGTCCCAGGATGTGCGTGCATGACGCACAGTGTGAGTCGCACACAGTCACCCAGCATTGTCTCCTGACAGGAAAGAGAGAAAGGGCGGGATGAAAGCTTCCCATTGACATGGCAGCTCAGATGAAGAAGCATTGTCCCGGAATTTCCTGGCCGAAGTTTGTCCCCTTTGTGCGATTTCTGTGCGTGCTTGAACTCTGTTGCGTTGGTATTGCACTGCCTGCTGCACGCAGGCTTGTTGTTTACGTTTGCGGCACCATTTTTACGTTTAGAAACAATACCATGCCCCTGCCCCCCCACACCCAAGCGGATGGCAAGATGCGTTCCCATCCCCACACCACCCCGGACGAGAACATGTTGGTCCCTCCGTCTTTTCCTTGAAAATCCTTCTGCTTCCGCCGGCAAGGCCAACGCCGGTCAGTGGGTCAGTGGCTCAGGGTTTAGGGTGTCCGAAAGAAGGAGGGATCTTCACGGAAATGACAGAGCGACTAATTGGGCCGCACAGAGCCACCCTGGACACCCCCGAAATAATATTACTGCCTGCACCAAATCGGTGACTGCTTGCACCAAGTCACGTGCACACTTTGTCCTAACCTCAGTTTTAGGGTTAGGTTTAGTTCAGGGTGAGTTTTAGGGTTAGGGTTAGGACAGGTTTAGGTTTAGGTTTTAGGGTTTAGGTTTTAGGTTAGGTTAGTTTTGACGGAGTTGGACATGATGTGCACGTGACTTGGTGCAAGAAGTCACCGTTTTCGTGCAAGCAGTCACCGATTTGATGCAGGGAGTAATTTTATCCGACACCCCCACACATGACCCGTTCTCTCTAACAAATCTTACCCACAGGCCCTTTTTCGGTCCCCGTCGGCGCCAGCGCACCCTGTACAGGACCCCCCGGGCCCCTGCTTCCGCACCACTTGCCCTGCCGCCTGCGGCGCCATTTCCCACCTCGCCCAACGCGCCCACCCCTTCGGACCGCACCGCCGTCAACGCCTTCTCCGCATCTCCCCTTCCTCCCCCCTTTCCCCCTGAATCGCCGCAGGCTCTCCGCAGCGCGTCCAGGACGATGTCCCTGCAGATGTCGGTGCCCAGAATGGCCGGCGCTGCCGGCAGGATGGCCAGCAGGGCTCATGCCTGCCCGGTGGTGGCGACCGCGCGATGCGGCCCGGCCAGGAAGGGCCCAGCCCGTAGGGAGGCGCCCAGCGCCAGGGCGGGCATCCTGGCCAAGTGCGAGGCGGGGGATGATGGTCAGGCGACCAGCGTGAGGACGGCCGTCGGTGGGTGGCAGTTGCGGGGATGCGTCCACTGGGAAGCGTCGTCGGTCGCGCGGGGCGATCGTGGGTTGGCCGGTGGCGAGGTGGCGTGTGGGCGAGGGGCGGGGTGGGGTGGGGAGATCCCGGAGGACCGTCGGTCCGCCTCCAAGCATTGTCGGTCAGGGGATCCTGGGGGCAAGGGGCCACGGGCGTTGTTCCTGGACGGCGTGGATCGCAAGATGTCTGGAGGCTATCGCCCCACCTTGCCATCCGAATGTTCCCGGTCATGGACGCTCTGGCAAGGCCTCAATGGGGGAAGATCGCGTGCGGAGGCAAGGGGGGGAGGTTGCAATGCAGGGCTGGTTTTGTTGTTTGGACCATGTGACGGCCATTACATTTCCGCGCGCTTGTGCAGACTTTGTGACGGAGGAGGATTTCGAGGAGGTGGTGCTGAAGAGCCCCGTGCCCGTGTTAGTGGACTTTTGGGCGCCGTGGTGCGGCCCTTGCCGCATGATTGCTCCGCTCATTGACGAGCTGCAAGAGGAATACGGCGACAAGCTTCGATGCGTGAGTGTGGGGCCCTTTATAATGCTTGCAGAACATCGATGCTGCTGATGTTTTGGTGGGGCGTTGATCTCATTTCCACATCTCACAGCGGATTATGACAATAAGGCAGAGTCCCCATTGTGGTTGTTGGCCAGTGCATAGTCCAACATTGAGTCACAGCGATCCCGATTTGCACAGCTGGTGCCCAGTACCAGATTGTGTACAGATTTGCAGACTGGTATTCTCCACTTTTATTCTTTCTTTGTCCTGAGTTTTGCACACAATTCAAGATTTTCAAGAGGCTTTGGCAACGAGAAGAACAGCTATGTCTCAAGTTGCATTTGTAACGTCCTCATATGGACTAAAAAAAATCATATTCTGTTCGTATCAAGGTTCTGAAACGTGACAAGCTGCACCTGGAATGGCTTTGGAACAGCTCTGCACGTTGATCCTTGATAGGCATGGTCTTTGTGCTCCCCTTCACATGGTGCACCCTGTTACAAGAACCCTGGTACTGAGCTCCTTACAGCGGTTCAAGGACCTAAGGTTGGAGGTCTGTGATCTGATGGCCAACTTGTGGCGGTGTTCAGGTGAAGTTGAACACGGACGAGGACCCCAGCATCGCTACTGAGTATGGCATCAGGAGTATACCCACGGTCATCGTCTTCAAAGGCGGCAAGAAGATGGACACAGTAATTGGTGCCGTGGCCAAGTCCACCCTGCAGTCAACCGTGGAGAGGTTTATGGATTGAGAGCCCATCAGTTCACCATGTCCATGGGAAAGAAAATTTGGATGTTCAATGGTGAGCATGCATCCTCAGCAACAGGCTGCTTATGAGGCTGCTGGAGATGGCATGGCACAAAAGCTCGGGGACCTGGGGGCGCTCGCATCTGGGGAGCGTGCTGGAGTCCTGCTGGTGATCGATGGCTGTGCTGCAGGGCTGTCTTGGCCTTGACTCACAAGACAACGTGTGTCAGCATTGGAAAGGGTTCTTGCCCAGCAAGGAGCACACAGCAGTACTCCGGCCATTGGGACTTTTTGTGAAGTACAAGGTCTACAGGGATTTGTAATGGTAGAGGGGCGAGGGGAGGGCTCCAGGTTTCATGGGGCTTGTATGGTTTGGATGGCTCGGTGGATTTGCTGACGCCTGGATGTATTTGCCCATACAGGGAATGACATTGTGATGGTGGCTGAAAAATCTTGTTGCAAACTGTGGAGAGCCGTGGCTGCCGGATGATGGAAGTGCAATTGCGCACTTGGACAAGAGAGCTGGGAAGCTGTCTTACCAGCACTTGGGGGCAATCCACCCGATGAGCACCAGAACCTGGGTCTGTGGTGGCCAATCGACAGCCCGTGGTGATTTTTGCGCCCCTCATCACTGGGCCCAGAAAACTCTGACTCCGAAGCTCTGAGTCCTTGAAGAACATCTGAACGGCAGGTTGCAGCAGGTGAAGGTTTCTCAACTCCTGTCGCCGCTGTACTTCTGCGCTGACTCCCCTTGGGAACCAGAACAACTTCAATCGTGTAATTCCTAGCCCTGCAGCACCATACTGGCATAAGCAGCAAGGTCTTCAGCAAACCCTGTTTGCTGCAAGCCCTGTTGGTGCGCATTTGGCGCATTTGTTACTGGATATCGATAGGATTGGGCGTCAGTGCATACGGGTGGATTATCTACTTCGTCCCATGCTCCAGGGCCTTAACGTGTGGACGAGGCGACTGAGGACTTCCCACGAATGCACGTACCTTCCATTTCAGCCAAAAGGTTCCAAGTCAAGGCGGGCTCTGATGTGCACTCGGTCCTTTGACCTTCAGCGGCAGAATTGGACTGGGTGGCATTGTTAGCAGGTGGTAACAGAACAACTGCCTGATTCACATTGCTCTGGGCACTCCTCCTTGGAGGCCTACTGCGCCAGGCGCCCCTGCCTAAAGTGATGTGCAAGCTGTGCTGAAAAATCAGCTGGTCTGTGTCCAGACTGCAGGCCTTCCTTGTAGTCCAAGTCACTTCATCTCAAAAGAGGTGGAGCTAAGTGAGGAATCGCAAAATAGGTGGATAATAGAGTGCACTTGATGCAGTGGGGTTTGAAAGCGATTGCACATCGCTGCCCACACAACTGCCAGTAACATTAGGAACCAGGTCGGCATATCCACAGGCAGCAAAAGAGAGCGTGCCACACTTCCAGCAGTATTTCATGCCGTGAACTCCCTGTGTCGCACGACGCCCGGATGCAGAGAAACTGTTGGCTGAAACAGCGCAGACAAAGCAACTGCACACGAATACAGTAAGGAAAACTAAGGGAAAAGAGTGCGAAAATGACGCGCTCCGCTCGAGGCAAACTACCACCGCCACGAGGTGAGGTCCACTGAAAGCGGGGGCCTGCAGGACAGGTGCGGCATTAGGTCAAATTGAACTAAAAGCATAACCTGCCCATACCCAGGATGCGAGATCTCTGAAGAGTCTTCGCTTACACCTTCTGTGTACAATTGGGTCACGGCAATAGTATCTGGGCACCTCCACAGAGTACACAAACCAGCAGTCAATAGGCCCCAACCACCCATCCACAACTCCACCCCCAACACACCCTCCTTTCAAGCAGCGTCCCCTGTTCTGCGGAGCCTGCCTATTCCTTAACCTACACCTCTAAACACAGGTGGTGCTGGGCACTGGAGAATGCAGGAATGCCAATGGTGTGCATACTACCATCAGCAGCAAGACTGCCCCTTGCAAGCGCCAATCAGCACATCGAGCGCTTGCATCGGACGAACACAGATGGCATCAGCACTGCCTCTTCGCTACCCTGTGTCAATTTCGCCTATTGCGCCCAAGGTGTGCCACCACGGTGCTGCAAAGGCAGCAGCTTATCACACTGTGGGCAGAGCGGGAGGGTAGGGGCCACTCGGCTGGTTGGATTCAGGGGTGCTTGGGTACCCCAGTGACGGTTGAACGCTTGGCGGCGGCGTCACAGGCGATGGGCAGACCGCCACAGTCATCGTGGGACCCTGCACTGGAGTGCCTGGGACTTGCAGGTAGTCACCAGCAGGGGGAACATACACGCGAGGGGGTCCCCGCCAAACACCATCTTCCACTCTATTGTACCACAGAGTGCGGGTCTCTTGAGCAAGTGCACAAGGCTGGCAAAATGCCCAGAGCAAGCAGTCGGTGCAGGAATTCCCCTCCAGCCCAAATTTGGATCGCAATTCCTGGCGGTTGATGGCACCCATGATGATGAGCGCAACGCCAGCGACGAAGGTGATTGCCACAACGGCCTGTGGGGCGATACCCTTGTTGAGGATGTTCGACCCACAAAATTCAAAGCCTCGGAATTTGACATTCATGGTGTTGTCTTCCTCCTTTGAAGGGCAGACAGGGGAGAGTAGCAACAGGATGAAGAAGATCAACGCCCATAAGAAGGCTGATTGAGTGAACGCTCTGCGCTTGTTGATCCTGTAGCAATGACAACGAAATGATTCCAAACTCAAGCATGGGTAGGCGCAAGGCAAGTACTGGTAGAGGGATATCGCCTTGCCAGCTCAATTGCCCTGTGCCCAGGCCTTCTCTGCAGTTGCAAGGACCACGAATCTGAGGCCTGCTTCCTTAGTGGGATAAGCATCTCCGTTTTGGCTGTCGTCATTGCTGATCCGTTGGCTATAAGTTACAACGCAGATACAAGAGCCCACCTTTCACGACACTGGATTCAGGTTTGTGTGCCTACGGCAAAGTTCTGCAGCACCAGGTTTGGACTGCAAGATGCCTGTGCATGTGGCGTTACCGGACAATCAGCAGCAAAACCCATTCGCACGTCTTCTGTCCATGCTTTTCGAGCTTATGGCGAAGAAGGATGCGCAAAAACGGCATCATGCCCTCGTCACTTGAGCGTCATCAAACGAACGCAACAACACTTCACGGCGATTGGGACATGGAAAGAATTCAGAGCCAGTGTGCCAGATGGCAAGAGCCAGATGCAGCCGCAGAAACGTCGCCACCACACTGCGTCGACAGGGTCCCCTTTCCCGACGACATCCGCGTTCGCGATGTCGACAATTACGGACCAACAAGGCGGCACCGGCCCGGCGACGCAAGGGACAGTCACCCGCACAATCTTGAATATCAAAGGGCGCCCATGCCGCAAATGAAAACCCCCGAGGCCCCGTGCAGCCATGCATCGCGGGGAAGCTGCTGCAGCGAGCATTCCACGCTAAGGGAAGACACCTCTCCTGCGCCGCTCCCATCCATCACAACCCCGTTCTGCGCTCCCCAACCACTCCATGATTCCCTCCTTGGGCCAGGCGACCCCATGCGCCACGAGAATCCAGAGCTGCCAACCTACCCGAACGCCACGCAGGGCACGAACCAGCCCAGCAGGCAGCTGACGATGCCCTTGTAGTCGACGTCGCCGCAGATGCAGATCCAGTGCCTGTGCCATCTCCGCAGCAGGGCGACGACCATCGGCTGGCCCGTCACCGGCGGCGGGGCGTACGGTATCGTCTCGGCAACAATGGGGATGGGCTGGTACGGCACGCCCTGCGCCTCCGCCATCCTGCGTGCCGGTCCCTCCGTGGCCAAGGGGCTGGCTTGGCCACAAAGGGAGCAGGGAGGGAAACAGGAGCCCCTGCTGGTGACACAACGTGGCAGGTCAGCTATTGCGTGTGGGCACAGTCACCGTGAAGTAATCGCGCGTGTTGGACTGCCCCCCCCGTGGTGACCAACTTTCAAGCAGTTTCAGAAATCCAGTTTCAGGGTGCTGTGGTGCCTGATTACGGCCTGTGATTACGGCTTCCTCATGGTCTGTTGACTGGCTGACAGGGTTAAAATAGCAGTCATCGTCCATAACTTACCAGATTGTGATTGACGCCACCTTTCAGTAACTTGGAACTCAGACCAGGCTGTAAGCCCGGCAGAAGCAAAAGTCAAATACGCCAGGGAGGCGCGTCCTTTCGGCTCGAGGAGGTGGACCGTCCAGTGCCCACCGTCGACGCTGTTCCGTGTTTTTCGAAGCAATGGCCCAGCCAGTTGATGACTGCACTGTTGCCACAGTAGGGAAGGTGACGCACCGCCAAGTGCTCCCTGGCACCCTCATCTCACTGTCGACAACGTGAGCCAAAGACTGTGCACAATGGGTACCCCTTTATTGCAGACTGACAGGGGGCTTTCTGCCCTCTTGTTCAGCGGGGCCGACTTCCGCACTACCCCAAACAGTTGCGCTGATCAACTGGGCCTCAATGCACTGGCTTGCGTCGAGGTTCACCGAAGCGCACATTGCTTGTGGCAAATTGCGACTTGTTAACCAAACACACCCACATTGAATATTCGGCCACCATTCAGCGAATTCCCGGTGCAGTTTTTCCTTGCTGGGAACAGACGAAGAATCACCTCAGGGCCTGCGTACTGCCATTGTACACAACCTCGACTGCGACTGCGGGTACTCTGCCCCTTCGCCCAGGGACGCCGGGGGGCGCGCCCAGCCTCGCCCCTCGCCGCAGCGCGGGTTAGTCACGCGGCTCGAGGCCTGTTCCCTCCCGCGATGGCTGGCGGGTGGCGCTACAGCGTGCGGATCCCGGACTACACCAAGGAGTCGACCCAGGGGGAGGACGACGTCGTGGTGGGGATTGCGCCCTTGCCTTCCAGCCAACGATTCTCGCCCCCTGGACTTCTCAAATCCAGCCAAGTCGAAGGCCATTGCTCTCAGAGACGCCTCTTCTTGGCGTCGCGCGTTGTCCAGCGAATGCCCCTGATTGGCGCGGGGGCCCGTTCGGTCCAGACCGGCGCTGGCGCGCCGCGTTGTCGTTCGTGAGGGTACGGTAGTTCGAGGAGGCGCGCGGCGGGGGTGTAATGCCTCCAGGGGGGTGGGTCGGAATGGGCAATGCGGACGGCCCGGGATGCGGAGCCGCTGGGGCTCTAAGGGGTCCGGGCGACGGGCTGGACGGGCTGGCCCTGCCGCTGCGAAGTCTGTTACCGTGGCTCGGGCCGAACGCCGACAACTCTTCAATGCCCGCGGATGGCGATCGCCGCGGCGCCCGCGCTGTGGGTATCCGAGCCCTCGCATGTGGGTGGCGAGTGGGCAGCCGTGCGGCGTGTCGCTGACCCTGGATTGGTGAAGATCGACACGATTATCTTTTGAAAGGAGCGTGAAATTGGCACCTCTCCTGGGAGTTTGCAAAGTTCAGCGGCGCCGTGTTGACTGCAGGGATGGGTTGCTGGTGCGCAGTACTACCAGGTTGACGTGTTGGTGCAGCCCCCCGGCAGCTCGGAACCCGCCGCGCCCTCCACTGTCTGGCGCCGATTCTCGGAGTTCAGACAGCTGCACACGAATGTGAGTGGGGACAATTGCCTGCCTAAGAGGTACAGAACCTGCCAAGCTTGGCCACACCCTCCTGAGCGCTGTGCGCGAGGCTCCCTGCCATACTGGGAAATGAATGTGTCCATCGCATCTTTGTAGAAAATGGCAATATGGTGGTGGCACACGTCTGGTAATGGCAACGGTTGAGGTGCATGTCTGGTAATGGCAATGGCTGTGGCACGCTGAACAAACAACACGATACGATCAGCAACACTGGTCTGGAAATCATGCCCCAAGTCGCCTCTGAGGTGCAAGGGCAATGTTTTGCCATGTTTATGTGACAAATGTAGTCAAAGGATTCGAGTGGCACTTGTCACTGCTAGGTTCAGTTCGCCAGGCAGCACAAGCCCTTCTGGCGGTTCAAACGAACTGGACAGCGTCGAAAGGAACGCCCTTGTCAGAGGGGACAGCCCAAAATCCACGCTTTGAGAGCGCGCCAAGCTGCAGAAGATGGTTTGAGAGTCTGCCTGTCCAGCAGAAAAAGAACACAACGTGGAGGAGCGGGAATGGCAAGCCAAATGTGCAGTCACGGCTGTGCGTGAGTTGGGTTAAGCTGCCAAAGAATCTGCGCACCACGATGACTGGATCGATGAGCCATGCTGTGTGTGGCATGTGCATTGACAACCGCACCCAAACATGCCGACTTAGCTGTGAGATAACAAAGGTCGCTGCTCTAAGGACCTGGACATACTGCAAGAGAATGGTTTTGCGTCACTGAGCCGTGTTGCGAAAACACTGCTTGCAAAGCAACAAATAAGTGGGCCGTCACAGTTTTTTCTGCTGCAGTATGGGTCCATTGGCACTTCCGAGCAGCTTCTGATGAAGAGAGTGCACATGTTCGTATTACTTGCTCTGCAACGCTGTTCTTTTCTGTTGTTCACCCTAACTATCGTTGCATTGTTTTGATATCTTAACCTGTGCCTGGGAATGCCATTGAAACTTAGTTCATTATTGCCCTGTGGAAGCTATGCAAAAGCTGACTTGGGGTGAAGTCATGCTTCATATTCCTGGACTTGATTGCTTTTCCAGTTGAAGAGTGTGCTGCCCAACCTGTTCAAGAGCAAGGAATTGGACCCTCCCCCTAGGATGTCACTGCGTTTTGTCAACAACAGTGACAGATTGCTCAACGAGCGAAGGCAAGGCCTGGAGTCATGGTTGTGGGTGCTGATGTCTAATCAACGCATCGCACAGAGCCAGGAGATCAGAGCATTCCTGCAGCTTCATTTGGCTGTGCGTGCAGCAACAACTTCATCTTCAGGGTATGGTAGGTTTCCCTGCATTCCTTGTTTGGGTTACCAGGGAAATATGTGCAGCATTGATCTGTTGTTGCATTCGTCCAATAGTGATCCAGCACTGCCATTGCAAGATGCAGGCAATGGCAGGTTGTGTTTCCATCCACAGCGTTGCTTCGGGATGTTTGTCCATTTTTGGCGACGCAGAATTTTGTGGACAGATGTTGGCGTTGTGGCGGGGATTGACGCTCGGACGGACATGAGACTGTTGGCATACCATTTGCTTGGCCAGCGTCTTGACAGTCAGTTTTCAGTAATTTGTATTGAACAGCAATATCATACAGAAAGCGAAACGGCGCATGTGGACCCCTGTCATGGGGAGGAAACATTCAAACTGAGTGTCTCACAAGGGAGAAGAGGTGTCACTGTGGAATGTCATCATCGTTTTATTGTTTGTGAAGAGAAAACGTATTACTGTTGTCACAAGTCCCATTTCCCAGTCACATGCCATTTTGTGTGCTGTTATGTTGCCTCGCTGTCTCATCCATGCCGAGCAACAGAATGATCTCAAAGCATGTGTGATGCTGCATCGCCCTGATGCGACTTTGAGAGTGGCATCTCCCCAATTGGACAGCTTGTGTCACCATTGCCAGCTGAACATACGAGTCGAATCCTGAGCAAGGAGTGGCCTATGTTCCTGTTGCCATCCTTGTCGCAGGGCTGTTTCACCAGCAACATCTGACCGAAGACCAGGCGCTCTCGATCTCACATCTCCAGAGGGTTGTGAAATCGCTGATGGAGAACTGGACACAGTCAGCGAGGCGTCTGGTCCAAGCATCGTAACGTCCACCAGCAATTTTCCTGCAGAAACAATATCGATGGGCATAGCCTCCAGATCTCAGGTTGAGCATCGCGAGAGTTGTCCCTGCCTCCCACTCACTCACACACCTTGCAGATATGCACAAGTTGGGTACTGACATGAATCAAAATTGCAGTTGACAGTCATGCAGTTGCTGGAGACGTGGCAACTTATATTTGTGAAACTTCTGATCTGATAAAGCAGAGCAGTAGCCATTCAGCCACCCACAGCAGCTGCCATAGCCAGCAACTTTTTTATGCCCTTTTGTTTGGATTATCTTTCACAAAAGGACGGTTCTGGTAGTGCTTGGGAGGTAATCAGGAAAATGAGCACTGGCAACTACTGATGCATTGGAACAAATGTCTGGGATATTGACCCCAACCCCCAAAGTACTGCACAACTTCCACAGCTGAAGTCGCCTTGCACTAGTTGTTTTGAATTCATTTTTGAAATCCAAATGGCAGGAGGATCTTTTCCATTGCCTTGAGTAGCGCTGCCGTGTGTGGTTTTCCAGTATGTTTCATGTTGAGGACCCATGGCTGGTGCACCAGCACCACCAAGGGCACATCTGTCGACCAAGTGCAAACCACATACTGAAGGCGAAAAAACGAACAGCTGAAGTGTGGTGTTTTGGGTGTGCAGATGGGAGACATGTCTGAACCTGTGCGGATGGGCCTAAAAGTTGAGCACCGCTCGGATATGAAGAAGCTGCTCGGTATTGTTGACCACTATATGGACCAGGCTGGCCGCGAGCTTCAAGAAACTTCTGCTGAAGTTTCAAGGCTGTTGCAAGTGAACCATCATCTGATAGACAGGACGCGGTCACTCGAATCACAGGTGCAAGGAAACGGCTCCCAGCAGGTGAGTGTCTCTGAGATTCTGAATGATGGCATTTGACACCAGCAACGCATCATTGCCCTTCTGACCAATGTTCATGAGAGGCACTGCTTGCTGCCAAAAGTTTGCTCTGAGATCGCGCATGAATGATTGAATACAGCATGTGCAGAGTAAGAACCACAGATGCTGTCAAAGAGTCTGGAGGTGTGAAGAGGCTGTCTTAAGATGTGAAGTAGCCGAGAGTAGCAGATCCTTGTGAGTCCTTTGTCATTGGCCGATTAGTGTTTCAGCAAATCAGATCTGAAACTTGCAGATCGGGTAAATGTGACTTGGATCATGCAAAGCATCCATTTGTGCCCAGGCATTGAAGGGCCATTGTCCAAGGGAAGAGACCTGAAAGAAGGCCATACACTTTAAATTGACACCACGTGCGCGTTGCCCACCAATCCTTGCACCAACCTGTGCTGTGTCCTTCCGATGTTTCAGGACAAAGTCATCGCAGAGCTGGAACAGCACCTTGAGGGCAAAGAAGCAGCACTTTCCAGCGCTCAGTCCAGGATCGAGGAGCTGGAGGCATCTGTATCGTCAAAGGAAGCTCGGTGCTCAACATTAGAATCTAGCTTGGCTGCAGCTGCTGAGGCTCACCAGTTCTCGGAGAAGGAGCAGGAAGGCAGGGCATTGCGGCTTGAGGGTGAGCTGGACAGTGCTAAAAAGCACTGTGGAGGCCTGGAACAGAAAATAGGCGAGTGGCAAAGGAAGTACAAAGATGACAATAAAAAGCTTGCAGAAGCAGTGCGAGCATTGCGAGGAGAAAAGCTTGAGCTGGGCACAAAGATTTCCATGGTAGAGAAGGCCTGGGTGAATGCCGTGTCTGAAAAGGATGAGATTATCGAAAAGCTGCAAGGTGAGATTGATTCACTTCAACAGGGAATGCGTCAGCAGCGGGAGGAGAGGAGCACACAGGAGGCTGAGCGTGTTGCTCAGCTGGAAGCCTCCTTGAAGTCGGCTTCAGCAAGGAATGCAGAGCTCCAGGGGGAGCAATTCAGGATCGCAAATCTAGTCGATGCCATGCACGAGAGCAGCGGCTGTCCTGCCGATACGGAAGCCTCAACAGTGCAAAAGCTGGAGAAGGTCTCTCTTCAAGTGAGGAAAGAGAGAGATTGCCTAAATTCCAGGCTGGGTGTTGAATCTTCAAGACGCCAGCAGGCGGAGGATAGGATCACAGACTTGGAAATACGCTGCAGCACAGCAGACGAGGAGTTGAAATTGCTGCAGAGCCAGCACAACGAGCTGCTGGCAGTCAGGGAAAGCCTTGACAGGCAGCTCTCTGAGGAGCGTCAGGATGCAGCAAAGATGAAGAGGGTCAGGCTGGAGCTGGAGCGGTTACAGGCGTTCCGCCGAGAGATCGTGGCCGAGAGGGATTCCGCCCTTGTGGAGCTGGAGAAATTGAAGGAGGAAAATGGAAAGGCGCAAGGCTTGGGGGACGAGGTGGGTTTTCTGAGGTCAGAGAACCAGCTGCTGAGGCAGCACAGCTTCAAGTCAGCTCGACTGACTTCGGACCTGGAACTCGCGACCAATGAAAACAAGGAGCTGAAAGATAGGTTGGCGCGTAAGGAGGCGGAAAGCAAGGAGGTGGCTGATCTGCAGGAGAGGGTTGGCGAACTCACAGCCGAGAATGCTGCCCTCAAGAGGGCGGACGGTGAAATGAAGGGTCGCCTGACAAGGCTGGAGACTGGAGCCAAGGAGCATGCAGCTCTGGAGGTGAAGGTGAAGAGTCTGCACTTGAGGAGTGAGCAGTGTGAGAGCCTATCCAGGGAAGTGGAAGCGACGAAGGGTAAGCTGGGAGATGCAGTGGCGAGCAATGAGAAGCATGAGGGCCCCAAGGTAGTGCAAATCGACAGTGGTGGAGCAGAGTTTGAGCGACTGAATGCGCGGAAGAGAGCGCTAACATCCAGGCAGTGCACATCTGTGGAGCTGGGTGTCCTTAAGGCCCAGCTGGCGGATTCTGCCAAGTTGGTGAACCATCTGAAGGAACAACTGAGGGTTGTGGGACTGGAAAGGGACCAGCTCGTGGCTGCCCAGGCATCTACCCAGCAGGAGTTGCTTCGTGCCGGAGCTAAGAACACGCAAGCTTCGGACAAGAACACTGGACTGGAGATTGCACCTGAGCGGGCAGCACATGGTTCCATTGATGCAAGCCAAATCAGAAGCCAGGCTAGGCAGCAAGAATTGGATGTTATGTGTTCTGGCAGAGGCGACGCACAACGGCCAGCGCAGCAAGGCAATGAGCCCGTCGAAACAGTCAGTGGCGAAGTGCGTGAAATATTCTCTGAACTGCTTGGCTGTGATATACCTGGGCTGCCCACGGATGGACCATTGGATCCCACAGCCCTGGGTGGTTTCCTGGAGCGTGTCGGACAGAGCAATGGCCAGTTGGCCCTCATAGAGACGAGGACAAGAAAGTTACGGGGTGGCGAGGCTCAGGCCAGCCCAGATGACATGTCTATAGGCTTGGACCTCCGGGTGGTGCTTGCTGATATGCTTGATGAACTTGCCAGAAAATGCAAGAAGATAAACGAGATCACTATACACAAGTTGCTGGCATCCTTCGAGGCCAGCAGTGCAGTGCAGCCTCCAAACCCGCCTGTTAACAACGTTTCAATGGCACTGACGCGAAACGCCGGAAATCCCACATTGCGACAGTCCAACCAAGTCCAGGCCATTGAGCCGCAGCTCCAGAAATCGTGGACTCGGCGCGCCCTGGGTCAGGCGTCTACAAGTGCCCTCCGACCTTCCAGATCGTTGGGGTCTCACGATGAGCTTGCCGGAGGCTACCAACGACCGCCAGAGCGGGGCACAGCTACGGCAAGCTCATGGATCAAAGGGCCAGGCCCCCAGGACGCCGCATCGCCTCAGGACCGCGGCGCGGCGGGAGTGCGAAGTTTCCTTGGGGAGCTGGGGGCGAAAATGAGCCAGGGGTCGGAGCTCATGCAGAAGGTTTCGCACGGCTTCATCAGCAGGGCGGCCCAGCCCTCGCAGCAGCAGAGGCAGGTGTCGCCGCAAGGCGTCCAGAGCGACCAAACCCCTCCAGGATGAGGTGGGCTGGTCGCTGTGCCTTCCCGCAATGAAGTTTGTACCACTTAGTGCGGCGGTGTCAAGTTCTGTGGAAGATTGGGAGGCGGAGTCGTGAGGAGCTGGGGTTAGCCGGCACGCTCAAGTTCCGGGGTCGCTGCCTCCGTGTTTATGTGCCGATTCCGCTGGCCTGACAGTGGCAGACCGCTGCTGGGGTTGGGGTGGAGACTGCCAAGAACGGGTCCATTGGTGGCATCAAGATGTGGCGTGATCGTAAATTCTTTGATGGCTTCAACTAGCATAGACGCGCTGACTGTTTAGTTAGGATTTGTGGAGTTGTGATACTCTACGTTTTAATTGCACCGGGTTCCTGGGCATATACACAGTTGCCGAATCGCCCTCAGTTAACGCTTCTATCAGGTGTGTTTCTGTGTGCGCGCTGATTGGCAATCGTTTCCAGTGCACGAGTTGTCGATTGGAACATCTCGGTTGCCAGCAGATTGATGAACTCCAGCTGCACCATGTTTCTGCTAGTGTAGAATGCTTTGCTGTGTCCTTCAAAAGGGTGCCTTTCTATGATTTGAACGGGGTGTTGCAGTCGGTTTGTGCCCTTTTCACACGCGGCTTCTGAGCCGTTGGCACTTGAGGTGTCGTAGACATGGGAATTCGTCAACTTGTGTTGCGTCAGGCATCGTGCTTAGTCTGGGCTGCGCAGTGGCTTTGAGTATTCCCTAAAGGGCTGCAAGCCCTGTCCATCACAGCAATTGAAGTCAAACGATCGCCAGGAAATGTAGTTGACGCACTAGAGGAACCACACTGCACACTGTGTGCTCCTCAACAATTTGGAGAAGTACCCACAGTAGAAAAACGCACAGACTCTGAAAACAAAACTGCCAAAACAGACCTACTCGTGCCTGGTCCCTCAAAATTGGCCGCAATTTGGTGCAAAACCTCGCTTTGCCTGTACCGCAAGGATCTCCAAAACGTTGAAAATAACACCCCGGCTGCAGGCCCATCTCCTGGCCACTTATAGGAGTGCAGCATCCAGCTTGCAAGAAACACCACGGACCCAGTCCTCCCTGGCTCACGATCTGCGCCCCAGGCCCTTCAGCAAACCACAAAGGGCCGCAATGCAGACCCCAGCTGCAACCCCCAGCCCAAAGCCACACACCGCCAGGCTGGTGGCTCCGGGAGTCACGGACAGCCGCTTGTGAGTGTACTGTATGTTCCTGTCCTTGTCGACGACCTGCCCAGTGCCCCTCAACAGCCACTTGTCGGACAGCAAGCCCTCCACCCCCACGGGCCCCCTCGCATGGATCCTGCCGGTGCTGATTCCCACCTCGGACCCCAGACCAAATCGGAAACCGTCGGAGAACCGAGTGGATGTGTTGTGGAACACGCAGGCGCTGTCCACTCGCTGCAGAAAGTCCTCGGCCGTCTGCTCGTTCTGGGTCACGATGGCATCCGTATGGTGCGACCCGAACTTGTTGATGTGCTCGATCGCCTCGTCCACAGAGGAGACCACCTCAAGAGTGACCGCCTTGTCACTGTACTCGTGCCTGTCACTGGGGGCTCGGGGCAGCTTCAGGGCATCGCTGGCCTTGAGGCCACCATGCACTACGACGCCTGTTCGGCAGTGTGCAGCAAGAATGTTCAAACCGCCCATGCTCAAGTCCATTCATAAAGGAAGGCACAGGCGGATGTGGTCAGCTAACTGGCTAAGAGACCTTACGTACATGCCTTGAGAGATGGATGCAACACAAGACCATTTCAGCCAGGAGATCATGGCTTATCCTGTGCCCAGTTGCACTGAAGGGGACAGAGGCAAACATTCAGAATTTTGTTTTGGCACAATTCTTTGCATGTGTCAATGGCAAAGATGCATCCTGTGTTCGTGTAGATCAATCTGAGGACAGTAGAATGCAGCATTGGGCAAATTTTTGGTGCATTTTGCAGGGACCACACTTTCCAAGAGGCTGGCGCTGGAGGTGACAACATCTGGAGGTGCACGCTGCAAAGATGCGCACATGCTAGCTGCCATTTGAAAACCACTGTACACACACTCACACAGCACCAAGATCGGATTCCCATGCACTGATCAAAAATTAGTTGTGCGTGCCTGAGTGACATCAAGCCACAATTGCCCCATTGTGATGTTCCATGCAACACACAAAGTGCCAGGATGTTCCGACACTGTGCATTTATGCTGCTGCTTCGTTCTGTTCTTCGTGACTCCCCATGCTGTTTTACCAAACCCAGCAAAAACAACAAGGGTGGTCTGAACAGATCTTTGTCCTTGGCAACTTTTTATTAGTCCCAACTGCTGCTGCTGCAAGGCTGCACAGTTTGCCCCACCTTCGCTCTTCATTGCGTCTAGTAGTCTGTCAACCCCATTGTGTCCACTCCAGGAAGAGTGGACAATTATCTTTTCCACAGCATTGCACGCTGCAGGATAGTCAATCTTCGCATCGACGCATATCTTCAGAGCCATGTCGAAATCAGCGTCCTCGTCCACATACACATGACAAATCCCATCGGCATGGCCCAGCACAGGAATCTTTGTGTTCTTCTGTATGTACGAAACCAGCTGGCCCGAGCCCCTTGGGATAACCAAGTCGATAGCACCATCCAGCTTGAGGAGATCACCAATCTCATCTCTTGATTCTACCAAGGCAATCAGGTCACGCCCAACACTGGGAGCCCCAGCCTCGATCACGTCACAAATGATCTTGTGCAAAATGCGGTTGCTGTTCATTGCCTCCTTGCCACCCTTCAACAAGAGACCATTTCCGCTCCTGATTGACAGAGCTGCGATTTGCGGCAAAGAATCTGGCCGGGCCTCAAAAATGATCATCAAAACTCCTATTGGTGCTTTGACCTTCTCCAGAACAAGGTCTTTTGCCACTTCCATTCGTTCAATCACACTGCCAATGGGCTCCTCCTGATTCGCTATGGAATGTATACCATCATGTAGCGTCTTCATTTTATTTGGCTTCAACTTCAGGCGCTGCATCAGAGCATCCGATATCTTTCCTTTTGCCTCTTTAACATCTTTTTCGTTTTCCGTTTTGATGAGCTCCTCATTTGCAAGCAGCGCATCAGCAATAGCGTGAAGGATGGCATCGCGAACCCTCGTGGGCAGGGCAATGAATTTCTGCGATGCAGCCCGTGCTCTGGTAGCAATGTCCCTTGCAGTTCCGCTGGCCGAATTGTTCTGTCCGGCGTCCATCACCCTCAATGGCTTTACCCTGCAAGAAGAGCACTGCAATTTCAACACTTGTGTCTCTTTCCAGCTATTCCACACCTGCGAGACACCGTGTCCCGCTTCCAGCCTCCCAGCCCTGGCCACCTGCCAACCCCCCCCCTGCGGACCACACCACTGATCCACAATGCTGAACCAAATCCAACACTACCCAAACTACTACCCAACCCACTCCACAGACCCCCAATCCTTTCCACTCACCTACCCCTCCAGCCGATGCCCGCCGGCGGCGGCCTGCTCCGCTCGCCAGGGCTGACAGAGAGCCAGCACCGGCGCCAGCGGTGCACTGCGCCATCATGCTACTCCCCTCGGCCCACATTCCTCCCCCACCCACCCAGCAATGCCCACGGCTCTCTCGCTCAGGCCTGGGCCTGTGCGCGCTTCGTGCACATCTGGGAACTGTTCATGCATTTGGCGCTGGAAAAGGCGCGCTCGTAGCGTGCGGTCACCTGATGCGCTGCGGGGGCGGCGCTCCTGTCTCGCGTCCCTTGGGGAAAGGACCCTGGTCGCGTAACCCGGAGCAAAGGCGGCTGTGCGGCCACTGAACTGCTGCCACGGAGTGACAGAGGCACCGCGCAACGACTTGGCACGTGTTGGGAACGCATCCAATTAGAAGAAGCACAGTGCGGTGACGTGGAGGCCCTGCTGGGTCGCGGGTTGCGGAGTGGTGGGAGTGTGGGGCGCGCCAAATCCGCACTACTAAGGATTGCCACAGTTTCGTGAGCGCTGACAGCCCGACTTCAATGTTGGTTGTGGACGGTGGTCACGGGTTCGAACACTCCCGTTGGGACGCTGTGTGGCGGGGCTCAGCGAAGGAAACGACCGACACACGCGACCCACAGCCTCTTGCGTCCCAAAGCGCGGCTGCCCGAGCGGAGGCCGCATTGTCTTTCGCTTGCCCCCGTTCACGGTGGCTACCATCCCAATGAGCACCGAGGGAGCAGTGAGGGTTCAAATGGGGCCCGTTGAAGGGGCCGCGGACGCCGCAGACGGCTCTTTGCTCGCCGGGGTCCGTGCGCGGCAGGACGAGGAGTTTGGGGGCGTCCTGCTGCATGAGGGCGCGCCGATGTCGCACGACGGGCCCCTGGCGCGGACGAGAGGGTGGGCGGGGCGACCGGCGCAGCGAATGGCGGAGCGAAAGGGTCGGGAATGGCGCGATGTCCCTCGCACCCAAATTTCGAAAAACGTCGAGTGGACAGACGTGGCGTCGCGTCACGAACGGTGGCGTAGATTCCGTGGATTGCATCTTCGGATTGCAGCTTGCGGGCGACAACCGTGGCAAGAAATGCAATCAATGCTGGGGCGCATGCCTGTGGCGCGGGGAGTGCCTCAGCGCCCACATGCCTTGTTTGCCTTTCCCTCTTAGGGCTCACGGACGCTTGTGCGTTTGCGCTTGTGAATTCGCAGTTCTCGAGTCCATGTTGCACCCTCCGCTGCCCAGGACCTGAGTTCAATCTCCCCTTTGCAACGAAATGTGCACATGAATCTGCATCTTCCAAGAAATCAGACGTGCAAACCTCAGCATTTCTTGTCAAGTGCATCTTTTTAAGCAGGGTTGACAAAATCTTGTGATGCTGTTCGCAGTGGAAAGCGATGGCAGACGTTTGCCTTTGGCTGGCCAAACAGAATCTGCAGTTTGTACAATGTTGGTAAGCAGAATCTCTCTTATGCCTCATGGTGCCCACATAACTGGATTGTGAATCTCACAAGCAGGGTCATGCATGGGATATGGTCGCTGATATCTATTTTAGTTACTGTTCATTAATGGCCGTGAAGATGAAAATCTGATCAGCAAGTCAGGTGCCAAAGATGGCAAAGACGTGCACGATTTGAAACAATTCTTGCTTGCATCATTTGCCACAAAATAGGTTCCAGGGACAAGATTCTCAGTGGGAGATTGCCACACAGGAACCAACGATTGCTTGGGCATGCATGTCGCAGCTGCATTTCTATTCATGGGTTAAATTTTCCACCCAACCCTTGTTGCAGGTTTCTGAACATGAGTGTTTTGCCGTGCCCAAGGTCAATGGGTCACAATGGGTGTTTGCAACGAGTTCCATGGCGTATGCCTGGTCATGGCAAGGGACAGCTTAGCTCCATTGATTTGCCAGGCAGCAGCAGACATTCTAATCT